ATGTTTTATTTTTCTCCAAAGCATTCATCTCCTCTTGCATGGCTTGAGCCCAATTCCTATCTTTCAAGGCTTCATGTACTGATTTTGGGATTGCAATAGAATCTAGTGCTGAAACAAAGCTTTTGTGCTGCACAGAAAGATTAGCAGAGGAAACAAAGTGGGAGATAGGGTATTGAGTACAAGAGGGACAGGAGGAACAAGTTTTCTTGTGACAAGATCTTTTTTCCTTTTCTAAGAGCAATAGGTAAGTCATCAGAAGTAGAAGCAATGGGTAAGTCATTAGAGATATCAGAAGAAATAGACAAATCATGAGAGGAAATAATATTAGAATCAGAAACAAGAGATTCAGGAGACTCAGAAGAAATAGGAGATTCAGGACTTACCAGTGGTTCAGACGATTGAGGTTGCTGGTGAGACAGTATGGGTTGTATCTCAGGTGTATTTGAAGGTTCTGACACACCAGGAGCAGACACACTAGGAAGAGAGGAGATTGATCCAGACTCAAAGAAGGAAGGGGACGAGTCTTCTGAAGAACTATTCTCCCCCTGACGATGAAGACCCAGAAAATAAGATTCAGATTCTTGAAAGGTGACATCCATAGAAACAAAAAATTTCCGACTTGGTGGATGATAACACTTGTACCCTTTTTTATAAGGGTTATAACCAAAGAAGACACACTTAAGAGCCCTAGGATCCAACTTACTCCGATGTTGTTTATGAACATGGACAAAGGCAACACATCCAAACACTCTTGGTGGAAGGCTCTGCAATATGGGAACAGAAGGAAAGAAGGAAGTCATGGAATGAATATGACTGATATTGTTAAGGACCCGTGAAGGTAAACGATTGATCAAAAAAGTTGGCTAATACTGCTTCTCCCCAATAAGAACTAGGAACAGATGTCTGGAAAAGTAGTGCTCTAGCAACTTCAAGAAGGTGACGATTTTTCCTTTCAGCAACCCCGTTTTGTTGAGGGGTATCAACACATGTGAGCTCATGAATCATACCTCTGTCTGAAATGAATTGTGACAGGCGTTGATTGACGTACTTAGTACCATTATCAGATCTGAGTCTTTTAATACCCTTACCAAACTGAGTCTCAACCATGTGATGAAACCGAATAAATATCTCTGGTACTTCAGACTTGTCTTTCATCAAGTATATCCATGTTATCCGAGTACAATCGTCAATAAAAGAAACAAACCACCTTGCACCTGAAACACTGTGCACTTTAGAAGGGCCCCAAACATCAGAATGGATAAGAGAAAAAGGTTCCCTGCTTTTAATAGTGCTAGAAGGAAATGACACTCGATGGTGTTTTGCAAATTCACAAACATCACAATGAAAGGTCTCAACCGACTTATTGAGAAACAGAGAGGGGAACATAGACTTCAAAAGACTAAATGGTGGATGCCCCAGACGCTTGTGATGGAGCCAAATCATAGACTCTGCAGTAGAAGGATGACGTGTCATTAATAACTGATTTTTGCTAGCATGGTCTGGAAGGAGATGATACAACCCATCCTGTTCATTAGCAACTCCAATTGTCTTCTTCGTGGTAAGATCCTGAATAAGACAATGAGAAGGAAAAAATGTGATAGAACAATTCAAATCAGTTGTAAGTTTTTGAGTGGAGATAAGATTAGTAGAAAGCTGAGGAACATAAAGAACATTTTTAAGAAACAAGGAAGGTTGAATTTGAATGTTACCAGAACCAATAACTGATTTATGGGATCCATCAGCTACGGATATAGTATGACTACCAACAGTAGGATGATAAGAACAAAACAACTCAGTACGACAAGCCATATGATCAGTTGCACCAGAATCCAAAATCCATGAGGTTTTAAAATCAGTGCAAGAAGCAAGAAGAGATATAGAACGTGTGCTCTTACCAGATAAGATCGAAGAACTATCATGCTCGACCATTCTTTAACAAAAACAGTTAACAACCAGCGATAAAATCAACCAAACAGAATATCAAATGACCTTTGATCAGAAAAATAATTACAGATCCAGACAGAAGACAAGAAGACGAGAAGAATGGTGGTGGTCCGGTCCAAAAACACGGCCGCACGCGCCTCCACGCGCCGGAGAAAGGAGCTGCGTGTGGGATTCACTCTCCGGGAAAGGGGCGGCGCGTGAGAGCGCGTGGAGGGTCTTCGCCGGCTGAGATTTTTCTGGTGTGGTCGTCCGATGAGCGCGCACCTGTCTGTGGGTGGTCTCGGTTGAAAAGTCGCCGGAAAGTGGTCCAAACGGTGAAGACAGATCTGATTGGAGGCGGTCGGAGGTGTTTCGGTCGTTTGTGGCGGAGGAACAGTGCGTAGAATGATAGATCGGAGGAAAAATAAGGTCAACAATGGTTCCCTTGGTCCAAAAGGTCCCCGGAAAAATTTTCCGGTAGCGGCTGATGGCGGCAAGAGGCAAAGAAATTAGGGTTTTGTTAAAAAAAAAAGATAATATGTGCGGAAGCAAAGCCCTCAGATCGAGAGCTCTGATACCAACTTGAAAAAGGATATTCTAATATATTATAGAATTGTAAATAATCTGTACAAAGGGTTCTCTATTTATAGAGAATACTTGACCTAATTTTAACCTAATGGGTTTGGCCCAATACAACAAATAAATGACTAAATAATTATTATTTACAACAGAAACCTTAGTACAATAGCATGTAGAAGTAAAAAAAAAATGAATTTTTTTGTAATTTTTTTTTTTTGTTTTTTTTTTTGGCGTTTTTGTTTTTATCAAATCAATAAGTAGATGTTAATGTATCATGTTTCAAAATATTTTGCAGGACTAACTCAAATTTTATTACCCTCCAGCCCTGTCATTAGGCATTAAACATAAAAAGGCAAATTGCAGTGCAGATTTTATGTCTTTTTAATTCTACTCCTTTGGAAGTACTGTTGAGCTTCCTTCAGCTGTTATATATAAGGGCATATCTTGTTGGCTTATTCGTTAGGAAACATGTTTGTTAGGATTGAGTTTTTTCTTGTTTTCTGTTTGCTATTCCAAGAGTAGAAATCCTATATTTTTTTAGTTTTTTTTTTTTGTAAGGTTCCGAACCCAATTTAAATTATTGTTGATCTAGATAATTGATCACAAAGATAAACATAAACTTGTCAATACTAAATCAATAGCTGAAAATAAAAAACAAAATAAAGGATAAATTAAGTTATAAGAAAATTGTTTTAGACTCTTTCAATAAAGATGTTTTTTCCTCAACATACATTGTCGACAAATTATAAGATTGGTCAAGTACATTAAGTTTCTTTATATTCTTCAGATATTGTACAACAAAAAACGCCTTCAATTAAATTATAGTGAATTTTTTTATCATTGCAATTTGATTTTCCGCATAAGTCATATTTTCCCTACTATCCAATAATAGTGGTAAAGTTCTAACTTTGTGCTTTAAAATTCATATAAATAATATTAGAAACAGAAAAATATTTCTACAATTACTGCAGATAAGTTATCTGCATTTACTCTCAAAACGACATAGTTTTGGTGTTGAAATATTAAAAAATTATAATTATAAAGATTATTATAACTCTGAAATAAATTAAAATTACAAAACACCTTGATTTCCGCCCTAAAACGACGTCATTTTGAGTTCAATGTAGATAATTTATCTGCATTAACTGCAGAAAAAACGAACCAGAAAAGGTTGCGCACAATTTCAACTTACTTTCACAATGAAAGATTGCTTGTGTTTTTAATTTTCTCACATTTTTATTGTGCAAATTTTATCGAAATTAGTAAAAAATATTTTAAATTCTCAGCTCAATTTCACTATTACAACATAATTTTCTTTTACAAGAACTACGGTGACAAAAATTAAAAATAAATCTTGTTGTCTTTTTCTGGTGGATTCTAGGTTATGATACAATTTTGTGGTTCCAAATAATATTTTACTTTGAATCTTTGATATACGGGTCAAAAAGTTAAATTAATTTGTAAGTCTTCATACTTTTTAAACAGGTCTCTTTATTTAAAAGTTTTGTATTAATTTGGATCCTGATGACAATAATCTAATCGTACTCAAACAGTAGCAACTTATAAACCAGAAAATTTTATAATTGTAAGGAGGATTTAATAACATACTTTAAATTATAAAAACTTTATATAAATTTTCTTCTAAAATATAAGTAATACAAAGTAATTTATGATGGGTTAAAATGGCAGTAGATGCTGTCGGATAGTGGTCTCTGGTGAGGATTTTAAACTATTAAGTTTGTGGAATTACGTATTTTACGAACAGATCACAGGGCTTCCCATTTCTTAACTTCAGTTTGACGTAGCAGTATCTTAAAACTTCTGCTATGTATTTGCAACTATAATCTAGTCTGTTCCCAAGCAAAAGAAAGTCCACAAATGAAGGATTCACATTGGTCGTCCTAAAACAAGCAAAAAATTCTGTTAGTTGAATATCATATGATAAGTGAATAAATTATTAATAAATGAAAATGCTTGCAACCGAAATCTCATATATGAGTATGATTGTTTACTCAATCACTTGGTAATTGGTAATTATCAACTTAGAGATAGCATGTGATAAATTTTACAATGTAAAAATATTCTGTTGGCAGCACATAAAGTATATATCTCTTCCAGCAGCAGTTACATTATTTTATCATTTAAGACATTACTTCTCCTTAACGAAAAAGCTTAGCCCAATGTATAAGGCTTAATTGTTTGGTCCCTCAAACCTCTCTTTTTCAGTCCACATTTGAATATACCGCAAATTCAATAAAAAAACTGAATCATGCGTGTGAATATTTTTCTTGGCTTAGCAATCTCAGCCTCTAAGGCATTCCAAAGAACTTGAAGTCCTTATCAGCATATCGCTTCCAAGCCTTCCTGGAAAACCCTTTCATTACCTAATCAGAGCTTTGATGTATAAATACTACTTCACCATATTTTTTCATCACAATGATCTCTTCAACAAAGAATCAAAGATATATACTAAACTTAAGTTGACCAAGAGGAACAGAATGTCTTGCATGGGCTTCAACAGTCGCACATCTTTGTTAATTTTTTTCGGATTTCTTGGCTTAATCTCTTTTCCAGTTGAAGCTGCCATAAAGAAATACCAATTTGATGTGAGTGTCAAAATCAGCATGCTTAGCAACTCTATTTTTGAATTCATTTTTAATGACATTGTCCATTACTATATTCTACTTACAGATTCAAGTGAAGAATGTTAGCAGACTATGCCATGCAAAACCCATGGTAACAGTAAATGGGAGGTTCCCGGGGCCAACAATTTATGTTAGAGAAGGAGATAGAGTACTAATCAATGTCACCAACCATGTAAAATACAACATCTCAATTCACTGGTAGGCCAATAATATTGTATATTTACCAGACACGAAGGTGAAGTTTTGATGTCTATACATGCAAATGAGATTCTCATAAACATATGGATTGTTGGTTATTTTATAGGCATGGACTGAAACAATATCGTAATGGTTGGGCTGATGGACCAGCTTATATTACACAATGTCCAATCCAGACCGGTAGCAGCTACACTTATGACTTCAATGTCACAGGGCAAAGAGGAACATTGTGGTGGCATGCTCATATACTTTGGTTGAGGGCCACTGTGTATGGTGCAATTGTTATCATGCCTAAACAAGGGACCCCATTTCCTTTTCCACAGCCAGCAAGAGAATTTGAACTTCTGCTAGGTCAGTTCAGTTTCTGAAATAATTCATTCATTATATTATATTATGCAAAGGGGGAAACGCCTTCAAGTTTACTTAAGATTCTGATAATTAAAACAACAAAAATTTACATAACTTATGCAACAGGAGAATGGTGGAACAATGACGTGGAAGAGATTGAAAAGCAAGGGAACAAAATGGGGTTGCCACCAAATATGTCAGATGCACATACCATCAATGGGAAGCCAGGACCACTCTTTCCTTGCTCAGAGAAACGTAAGGAAAATTTAATCAATTAAATTTGTGATTATTATGTGAATCAAAAAGTCACCAGACAAATATAGTTTGGCTAAATATATGGCTAGAAAAAATTAGGTATCTTCGCTCCAAAGAAAACTAAGCTTAAGCGTACATTTCACCTTCCCTCATTACAAATTTTCACTTGTTTAATTTCTAGATACATTTGCAATGGAGGTTGAGAAGGGCAAGACTTACCTCCTGAGAATCATCAATTCTGCCCTCAATGATGACCTTTTCTTTGCCATTGCGGGTCACAACATGACAGTAGTGGAGGTTGATGCAGTTTACACAAAACCATTCACCACTCAAGCTATAATAATTGCACCTGGTCAAACCACAAATGTTCTAGTCCAAACAAACCAAGTACCAGGAAGATACTTCATGGCTACAAGGACCTTTATGGATGCCCCAATCCCAGTTGACAACAAAACTGCCACAGCTATATTCCAATACAAAGGCATTCCAAATACTGTCCTCCCTTCTCTTCCTCAACTACCTGCTGGGAACGACACAGGTTTTTCTATGAGTTACAACAAGAAACTAAGGAGCTTAAACTCTGCACAGTACCCTGCTAATGTTCCCCTCAAAGTTGATAGAAACCTCTTTTACACTATTGGTTTAGGCAAGAATTCTTGCCCCACATGCATCAATGGAACCCGGTTACTTGCTTCCTTAAACAATGTCTCTTTTGTGATGCCCCAAACCGCGCTTCTTCAAGCTCACTACTTCAACATTAAGGGGGTTTTCAAAACTGATTTTCCTGATAAGCCTTCAACTCCTTTTAACTATACTGGTGTACCACTAACGGCAAATCTAGGTACTTCAACAGGCACAAGAGTTTCCAAGATTGCCTTTAATTCCACAGTGGAGCTAGTTTTGCAAGACACCAATCTCCTCACAGTTGAGTCTCACCCATTCCATCTTCATGGCTATAACTTCTTTGTTGTTGGAACTGGGATTGGTAACTTTGATGCTGCTAAAGACCCAGCTAAATACAACTTGGTAGATCCTATTGAGAGGAACACGGTTGGTGTTCCCACTGGTGGTTGGACCGCATTTCGTTTCAGGGCAGATAATCCAGGTATGCCTCATGAAATGCATCTACCTTAAAAACTGCTAAAATCTTAAACTGTAATACAATTTAAGGATTGTCCTAGTATTGTTATTGTATGAGACATCATAAGCATATTTTGCTATAATGACTTGTTTTTCTTTTATATATATGGTTGTGTAGGTGTTTGGTTCATGCATTGTCATTTGGAGTTACACACTGGTTGGGGTTTGAAAACGGCTTTCGTTGTGGAAGATGGACCAGGACAAGATCAATCTGTTCTGCCTCCACCAAAGGACCTTCCAGCTTGCTAGACATAAATGAAATTGTTAACGAGCTCGGATTGTATGTGGAACAGTATTCATAATGCAATGTTTTAACTTTTATTATCTGTTAATACTTTCCTGCAAAAGTTGCAGAGAATTTTTAATTACGAAATTAAATGTGAGAATCAATGTAAGCAAATATTTGGACAATGTATAAAAATTACTTGTTCTTTCTCTGTTGCTTCCATGAGTATCGCTATTCGTTGTCACATATCATTTGAGAGTTTCTTTAAACCAATTGCGACTTTAATCTATATTACGAATTGTAAACTAAATAGTTTATGTTATATCATAAATCACTGTAAAGATCACTAAAACATATACAAAACATAATGAATCAACTTAGAGCCATGTAAGTTTTACATTCACTGTTATTTATTAACCACATTTATATTCAACGGCCTTTAAGTTTGAGTATACTATCATTATTGATATATTATTAATTATGATAATTATAATAGTTAATCATTAATCTATGATGTATTAATAATTCGTTCTCTTTATCTACATTAATTATGCAACTATTTCTTTAGGAGAAAATGTTTATTTTTTTAAAGGATATAATTTTATGTCATTTTAGATCTTAACCGTTGATTTTTTCAATCAACGGTTATAATTTATTGTAAATTATTAATTAATTAATAAGTTTGACCCAATAAAATATAATCATTGATTGACGAAAATTAACGGTTAGAATATAAAATAACATAAAGTTATATCCTTTAAAAGAATACATATTTTCCCCATTTTTTTTATTATGATCATTTCTAAGCGGGACTTAAGTTAGGAAGGGCAATGATGGCTGCCATATTAACTTAATTCGATTCCTTAATACTTTATATCATCTTATTTGTTTGTCATTAACCCAAAAAAAAAAATGTTGTTCGACATATTCATGTTTCTAGTATTCTTTTTTTGGATATAACATATATCATCTTAAGCATTCATCTGCTGACCATATTTTTGTTCATGTATTTCTTTTTTCTTTGAAATTTTAACAAAATGAGAAGGTTCCAAATTCCAATTTCCGAAGTCAAGGACATGTACCATATTTAAGCGAGAGCTTAGGAAAATGCTCATTAATTTGTCACGAAATTTTGTTTGCGAAATATCATAGAATGAATTGGCTTCTCTTAATTGGTAATAAAACAACTCCTATAAGTCAAAGAATATACTTTTAACAGCTTTTATAGCTTATATACTGTTCCCTCCTTTGTATAGCTTTCGTAATCCCATTCGTAGCGAAGGTTTTTGTCCTATCGTAGCTGTCAAGTCTAAGAAATGGAAGTTAGGCCATATATTTTTTTATGCCTCTAGAATAAGCGTTTTTTTGATGCCATTGAATAAAGCAAAATGACTAGATATATTTAATTAGTTTTCTTAATATGGGCCGGAAAAAACATAATTGAATTTACCTTAATGTTTGTAAGACGTATAATATTTGAAAAAAAGTATTTATCCTTTTAAATGACACAATTTATATTCTTTTATTCTCACAAAAAGGTGGAACTCACACTTTTATTTTTTTGTCAACTCTTTTTTCTTCTTTATCTATCTCTTTCTCTCTTTTTAAATAACATAACTTTACATCCTTTAAAATGACACACAATTTTCCCATAATATTTTCAGTAAAATGTGAAAGCAGTAGCCGAGTAGTCTGTTTGCTTTATATTTCAATAAAATATAAATGCAAACGTCCCTTTTTCAGTAAGAAGGAAGCAAACTTTTTCTTTGACTCAATGCATGTTTGCGGTGAGAAAACAGTAATAAGGGATGTGCTAGGGAAAGTTCTAGGGTATATACGCTCGAGCTCCATTCACTGTTTTTTTTTTCCTAAAAATTTGTCAACTAGAAATTATGGAATGAATTTCAAAAATATTATCAATCAAAAGAATAAATTGGTGGAGCGCGCTCGCCGCTCGACCATTCTGTAGCTAGCATTATCCTATCAATAAAACAAACGAGCCGCAGTTGATTGTCTCTTATTTAAGCCATAAATATTCTAGCTTTTGAAGTTTAATATAAGTTATATAACTATGAGCAGGGATATATTCACAAATTTTTTTTTTACAAACTTACAAACTATACTATGTCTAACCGGTAATACTCTCTACTTAAGAATGTATTATCGGTCAGACACAATATAGTTTGTAAACACAAAAAATTTGTTAATATAACTTTTTTCTATGACTATTGAACAACTAATTTGTAAAACAGAATTTACTTTAATTTTTAAGTTGTCGTTCTATTCGTTTAAGATTCATGAACCAAATACTTCAAAAAAAAAAAAGATTCATGAACCAACTAAATTCGTTACATTGAAGTATAATACATAGGGTAATACTTTTGTCATCACGAATTACTTCCATAGAATAAATGAGGAGAAAGAAAAAAGAATGAAGTGAGAGAAAAAATTTGCAATAAGACCCATATTTAAATGTGTGTGTAGGAATATTTTGGTCTCTTATGTAAAAAGAGAGACATTAATCCCTAATACATATTGGTTAAATACGCATTAGAGTTATCGGCTGAAAATAAATTATAGCAGATATTGGACTCAAATCATATATAAATTATAAGGGAAGAAAGTTTCTAAAGTTACTTTAGACAAATTTATTTATTGCTCACCAAAATGATGAAATTTTGGGATGAAAGATTAAAAAATTAGAATGATAAACACTATTATAACCCTAAAATAAATTAAAATTATAAACACACCATAAATTTTGTTCCAAAACAATATCGTTTCGCCAAATATTAGACCAATTTATTTAATGTAACTTTAAAAAAAACAAACTCAAATTATAATAAACAAACAAATTGTTTTTGGAGTTTGGTATCCGAAGTATAGAGTCAGAGAGGCACAAGTAGGTATGAATAAAAAAAATCAAAAAATTGAATCGAACTATGAACCAAACTGAATTGAACTTAAATAAGTGGTTTTTTAAAAAAAGAGTTAATGAACTGAACTGGTTTATAAAAATCAATTCAAGAACCAAACTGATTTAAAAAAACCATTTCAAGAACCGGTTCAGAACTGGTTTTTAATTAACACCTGAATCTAACACCCAATAGGTACAGTATGTTCCCATCTCTATCTATCACCTGGATTTCACTGCCATTTTTTTCATTACTGTAACAAACAGAAATTGAATCGAAAAATTGAAGTAACAATTTAGGGAGAAAAAAATTACGAGATTCTTGTTTGAGTTGATCGAGGAGGAGATTGATAGCTTCGTCTTCGTTAGGGCCTTCAACTTTGAGATTGTAGCCTCTGATCTTGCACTTCCTCAGAACCTTTTTCCTACTTGAAGCATTCATTTCTCTCTCTTTCTATAGTGTTGCTTTTCAATCTCAGTAGAACAAGATTAAAAATCAGTTTATATTCGGTTCGGGTTGAGCAGGTTCTGAACCGATTTTGAACCAAATCAAACTGATTCGATTTAAAAAAAAATCAATTCAAAGAACCGAACACAGTTCGGGTGGACCCATTCTCATCCCATCCCAGCACAAGGATTACTACTACTGCCCATAGTCAAAAACTTGATTTATTGAGTCTAGGGATGTAAATGGGCTGGGCTTTGGCCTTTTTGGCTCAAGCCTACGTCAAAAAAAATTCAGTCTATTTGGTCTACTGGCCTGTTAAAGGCTTTATTTGTAGGTCAAGCCCGACCCATTTTTTAAAAATAAGAAAGCCTGACATGACCTACATGCCATGTAGGTCTCCCACTAAGCAAAAAAAATAATTGTATAGAGCAAAGAAAGTTCCATTCATGCATGCACTAGTACTTCTCATAAGAAAAAAATGACAAACAAGAAAGAGACAACATAATACCCCAGCTCTAGAATGTATATCATAGAAGAATAGAGTCAAAGAAATGGAGAAAATAAGAAAAATACAATTACCGGAAACTGAAATAAAGTCTATAAAAGAATGTCATTTAACTAAAAATCTTTAAACCACCATCAAGACAAGGGAAATAAGAGTATTATTGAAAAATCTTCATCTGTAACATTATAATCCAGCAAGGTACCTATTACTCCTTGGTATTAAGCTGCAACAACATGTAAAATTTGGAGACATTAGACAAGTTTTCCTCTCATAAAATAAAATAGCACAAAAACTAAGAGATATTGGTATTTGGTACTTTGCGTCTTTGCCACATAAAATAAATATTATTTTATTTTAATAAATTAAATAGGCCAGCCTACAAGGCTGTAGGCCGGGCTTGACAAAATTGGCCTATGACCTATTTGTTAAAAAACTTTTTTATAAGCCTAAGTCTACTCTACTTTTCTGAAAGGCCGAGCTTAGGCCGGGCTCAATGTAGACTGGGCTGGACCAGCCTGACCCATTTACACCTATAGTCATGACCACGTTCCGTAATCCGTACGACGGCTTCTATGTAATCACAAATTTGAGAATTAATTTAATTTAATTTTTTTTTTAAAAGCTAAAGATGAATCGGATTGATTTTTTTTTTTTTTAACTGTGTACATTGTACATATAAAATCTACTACCACCAAGCACTGATCAATAGATAAGGGATTGTTTTTTCTTAACCATGAGTGGGAACACAATTGTATTAAAATTTGGTAGATAGAGCTTTCACGAGTAAACAGCCTCGGGGGTTCAATTAGTTCTATAAAGGTTCAGAATGCACCTGCAGGAACAAAAGAAGCGTTTCTTGAGTGTTCAAGAAATCGAGTTTGTATGCAGCAGAAGATACACTCCATGGACCTTACATTTCTTTTCGTCAAGGTTGATACATACTAAAGCTTTGCTTTTTCATTTGCCAAAAATAATAAAAAAATAAAATACAACTGAGTTTTTGGTTTCAACTTTCAACAATAAGCAATAGAACACTCAGAGACAAAACTTCTTAGTATAATGGAACAAACGACGTATGGCCTAAAACAAGCAAAAGATTTGGTAGAAATAATTAATTAAAAATACATTATAATAACCAAATTTTAATCCGAAATTATATGCTGAGCTGAATCATGGTAAGAATAAGCTAGCTTCATCAGGTAGGCAATCCCCAACAGTGAGATACCATTTTGGCATCACAGCAGCAACTGAAATAAGAATTTCTTTTGGAGGGTAGGCTGTTATTTGGCAAAGAGAACTTTCCACTTGAATGGCACAAGGAATTCTTGGATTAGCACTCACCCTTAAGCCATTACTTCTCCTTAACGATAGAGCCTAGCCAGTGCATATTAAGGTAGGTTTGGTTTCATGTACCTCTCACTTTCTGGTTAATGTATTGAAAAAATGTATAAACAATTATAACTTCTTTAAATATTGTTCTTTCTTCAGAAACCTCTCAGTCTCTACGGAACCCAAGGCCTTCAAAAAATTTATCAGTATTTTGCTTACAAGCTTTTATGTACAGCTCATTAATGCACTACCTAATCAGCCTCAGGTGTTTATTATCCTTCATGTAACAAACTGATAGCCCATCTTACCTTCCCACCATTCATATAAATACTAGAACATATGCACCATTTATCTGCATCCATACAGAATCCAAGATAGTAAATATAAGTTCAACATCATACAGAATGGCAAGCTTGGGATATTTCATATCTGTCTTAACTTTACTCTTCTTCGTCTTTGTTGGCTTAATGTCTTCATCTGAAGCTGCCATAAAGAAATACCAGTTTGATGTGAGTTATATTGACCATAATCAAAATGCTTAACTAACTAGCTATGCAAAGTTCCCTTGATAGCATTTTGTTCTTTCTACAGATTCAAGTGAAGAATGTGAGTAGATTATGCCACGCAAAACCCATTGTAACAGTAAATGGGAGGTTCCCAGGGCCAACTATATATGCTAGGGAAGGAGATCGAGTGCTGGTCAATGTCACCAACCATGCACAATACAACATGTCGATTCATTGGTAGGCCAATTTTTCAATATCAGAAACATAGGTGAAGTTTTTTTATACTGCCATATACATGCTTCTCTCACAACCATATGTTTATTATAGGCATGGACTTAAACAATATCGTAATGGTTGGGCGGATGGACCAGCCTATATCACACAGTGTCCTATACAGACGGGAAGCAGTTATACTTATGAATTCAACGTTACTGGGCAGAGAGGAACACTATGGTGGCATGCACACATTCTATGGCTGAGGGCCACTGTGTATGGTGCAATAGTAATTATGCCTAAACCTGGAACACCGTTTCCTTTCCCACAGCCAGCAAGAGAATTTGAAATTCTACTGGGTCAGTTTAATTGTCAAGTATTCTTATGATTCGTACGACAAAAAGTAAAAAAGTTTGCTATAACAAAGTGTTTGTGCATGCAATAGGTGAATGGTGGAACAATGACGTGGAACAGGTTGAAAAGCAAGGGAACAAATTGGGGTTGCCACCAAATATGTCAGATGCACATACAATCAATGGGAAGCCAGGATCACTATTTACGTGTTTTGAGAAGCGTAAGGAATAATTAGCCCAAGTTTGGTATTATAGTTAGGAAAGATTGAAAATCTTTTGTTTTAACTGCAATTTTGTTTCAATTTTTAGATACATTTGCAATGGAGGTAGAACAAGGGAAGACTTACCTCCTGAGAATCATCAATGCTGCCCTCAATGATGAGCTTTTCTTTGCCATTTCGGGTCACAACTTGACAGTGGTAGAGGTTGACGCAGTTTACACAAAACCATTCACTACTCAAGCTATACTAATTGCACCTGGCCAGACCACAAATGTTCTAGTCCAAGCCAACCAAGTACCAGGAAGATACTTCATGGCTACAAGGACCTTTATGGATGCCCCAATTCCGGTTGATAACAAAACCGCCACAGCTATATTCCAATACAAAGGCATTCCAAATACTGTCCTCCCTTCTCTTCCTCAACTACCTGCTGGGAATGACACAGGTTTTGCTTTGAGTTACAACAAGAAACTAAGGAGCTTAAACTCTGCACAGTACCCTGCTAATGTTCCCCTCAAAGTTGATCGAAACCTCTTTTACACCATTGGTTTAGGCAAGAATTCTTGCCCCACATGCGTCAATGGGACCCGGTTACTTGCTTCCTTAAACAATGTCTCTTTTGTGATGCCTCAAACCGCGCTTCTCCAAGCTCACTACTTCAACATTAAGGGGGTTTTCAAAACTGATTTTCCTGATCGACCTTCAACTCCTTTTAACTATACCGGTGCACCACTAACTGCAAATCTTGGTACTTCAAGAGGCACAAGAGTTTCCAAGATTGTCTTTAATTCCACAGTGGAGCTAGTTTTGCAAGACACAAATCTTCTCACAGTTGAGTCGCACCCATTCCATCTTCATGGCTATAACTTCTTTGTGGTTGGAACTGGGATTGGTAATTTCGATGCTGCTAAAGACCCAGCTAAATACAACTTGGTAGATCCTATTGAGAGGAACACAGTTGGTGTTCCCACTGGTGGTTGGACAGCAATTCGTTTCAGGGCAGATAATCCAGGTAAGTCTCATGATGTCGTCCTAAACTTAAATAAATTTTAAACTGTAAGGCCATATTTGAGCATTGTCCTGATGTTGAATGAGATATAAACCGCATTTTTTCTTCTTCTATATGTGGTTATATAGGTGTTTGGTTCATGCATTGTCATCTGGAGCTACACACTGGTTGGGGGTTGAAAACGGCTTTCGTTGTGGAAGATGGACCAGGTCAAGATCAATCTGTTCTACCACCCCCAAAGGACCTTCCAGCATGCTAGTCATCCACGAAAATATAGCCAAAGAGAATTCGAATTGAACAGTATTCAATGTTTTTACTGTGTCTTTGTCTGCTCAGCCTTCCTCTGAAAGTTGCACAAGGTTTATAATTATGAGAGGAAATGATGTAAGGAAAGATTTCGACGATTTCTTATGATTAAATTTCTAAAATATGATTCATTCTTTTCTTTGTACTTCCGTGAGTATAGCCTTTTACTTCTCATATATCTCTTAAATTCCCTTGAGCTATTTGGACCAACATGTCTGCAAAACACATCACCGTCAAGGCCACTGAAAAGCAGTGACCCCTGCTTCTCCCTACTCCATTCTTGCTCTTATTACCATAATCTCGCAATGAACTTTCTGCCCTCACATTTATGCATAACTTAACGCACTCCATCATACTGATCAAAAAATTTATCAAGAAAAATATACGAGTCTCAAGCGTTTGTATGAATCAAACTCCACGATGAAGTTTAAGCTTAAGCAACACATAAGACTTGAAAAAAAAAGAAAAAGAAAATTTGACATTTGGACTTATTTCAATACAAATAAACTCTACCGTACAGATACTTAGCTTCGCCTTTCTACGTTCTTTCCTAAGTTATTCTCTTTTCTGTTTTTCCTTTCATCCCCCCCCCCCCCCCCCCCCCCCCCCCCCCCCCCCCCCCCCAAGCTAAATTTTCTGAACCTAATACTAAGGCATTTGTTGAAGCCAGATCAGCCAGCAACTAGGACCAGATTATGATCAAATCCTGACACGGCCTGTAAAATTGGAAACCCTTCTAAAGAATCAAGACAAAATGGCTCAACTTCGTCAACAGAACTTCCCAATCCAAGTCTTCCACTTTTACCAGAGCCCCATACCCACATTTCTCCCTTGGTTGTAAGAGCAAGAGAATGTGCTCGACCACCTGAAACTGAGACAGGATTTTCCTCAGCCAATGCTTCAATCAAAGACGGTATGTTCCCAGGCCCTGACCTTCCAAGCTGAGAACTCTGGTTCCATCCCCATGAAGCAATGTTCGTAGTCCCTACTTCAGCAAGCTGACATATTGCCAGAGAATGTCCAAGCCCTGCTGCTATAGAAATGGGACTCAAGTTCATGTCAACCGGGAAAATTCCCAAATCTTGTTTAGCTCGCCCCAATTGGCCATACACGTTACTCCCGCAGCTTAAGAGGGTACCATCACCTGATACAGGGTAATCAAAACTTAAAGAGGAAACCCCATCATGCTACAAGAGTTAAATGTACAAGATGAGTGTTACTTACGGCAAAGAATCAGAGAGTGATCAAGGCCACATGCAATGTCCACAACTTGAACACCATGTAGTTCTTCCACCAAGCGAGGTTCCCATATTATTGGCATGTTATTCTCCTTCTCCATTCCTTGCAAAACTCTCTCTTCAGCAACTTCCAGGTCCGAACTCGAAAGTTGTGTATTATTTCTAAACGTGGAATCTAATGGTGATGCCTCAAAGTGATTCCCCATTTCCCCTATCCTACCATCAGCTGAATAGCCCCACCCAAACAACTTTCCATCCACAGTCACAGCAAGAGCATGGCCCCAACCAAACGACACCTGAAAAGAAACAAATAAGTTTTTAAGTTTATCAATTTTGAAACGAATCAGAGTATGATATAGAAAACTAGAAAAGTACCTTTGCTATGTTTTCTCCAGAAAGTGCTTCAACTTTGGAAGGTGCAACAGCTTCAGTTATATCTTTACCAAGGCCAAGTTGGCCACGTTTAGACTTGCCCCAAACCCACACAGAACCATCATCCAAAACGGCAGCAGAAACAACTCCCGACGCAAAAGCAGCACAAACCTTAACATGTTCTAATCCCACTACTCTTTTCGGCTCATTCCATGATTCTCTGCTGGAAAGCCCACGGCCTAGTTGGGCTTCGTTGTTTCGGCCCCAAGCCCAAAGGTGGCCGTTGGAAGTGATGGCGAGGGAGTGGTAATGTCCCGCACCGACACTAACAACATCGGAAGGCAGAGCAGGAACTGGGGCAGGCTCGTATGCGTCTAGGCCCATACCCACGGTGGATGAAGGCAATCCAAGAGCCCCTTGGCTCCCATCACCGAAACTCATGACGGTGCTCATCCATTTCCGCCTCACCAAATGGACCCCACTCTCCGCGGTCGGTTTCAGCTTCTTCCCCACGAATAACAACGGTCGTGATCTCCACATTTCTTTTCCTTATACTATACTCCAGGTTGTTCGCGGTTTGCCCTTTGTACCAGATTTCGTGGGCTCAGTTCGGGCTTTATTGGGCCAAGCATGTTGAAAGTAGAATCATGGGCCTTGTTTGGGTTGAACCGTTTTATGATATTTTATTTTCGCGAAAGGAAGAGGTAGTTGAGTAGAATATCCGAATTTCCGCGGGCACTAGAGGACAACAAGTCAACAACCATAAAAATTACTGAAATGAAAAATAAAATAAAATAAATAATAATAACTATAATAAAAGCAGCCATGGATTTGTGAGTTGGAAATAAATGGCGATGGTTTCCATGGCATTCTGTGTCAACACCGTGACCTTTCCAAAACTCAACAGGTTATTCAAAAAAAATCAGTTTTTTTTTAATTTTTTTAATTTCTGGAATGTAATTTATTTATAAAGTTTGAATATGATACGATTTGGGAGTGGATTAGGTGTCGTGGAATGGCATTTGCAAGTTTGAGCAACAAAGAAACCAGCACTTTGGGAGTGCGCCTTACAGAAGGCGAAGGGAATTTGCCAAAACTTGTGCTTACTTCACCAGCTGGTAGGTGCGTAATTCTTAGCTCTATTCCCTTCACAACCATGTTTTGTGCACTTTTAATAATGTTTATGAAATTCACCAATGATATTGAATCTGTGGGCCTTGTTTTGCAGTGAAGCTGAAACATACCTCTTTGGAGGTTGCATTACCTCTTGGAAAGTTCCCAATGGCAAGGACCTCCTCTTCGTTCGCCCGGACGCTGTTTTTAATAAGAAGAAACCAATAAGGTTCTTCTCCTACAATTCTCTTTCCTCTTTACTTCATCTCCCCCACTGTTTAATTTCTCTTTTACGTTGTAATTTACTAATTTTGGATTCCCCAGACACTGATTAATTTTTCTATTGGAGCAGTGGAGGCATCCCACATTGTTTTCCACAGTTTGGTCCTGGTCCAATTCAGCAGGTATGGTATGGTCCTTTACACAATGCTATTTTCTTGCACTTCATTTTATTCTGTATTTTCATTTTTATTTTTAATGTTATATATTTTAAATTAAAAATACAAGAATCTGATTGGAGTAGAGGTCATCTACCACTTGAGTCTTGGGTAATATAGGTCATGGTATGACTGCTACTTACTATTTTATGCAGCTTAGTGATAGCAACTGTGTTGCTTCCATATAGTTAATAAAACTTGCTTCTCTTCAATAAAATCACGAGTGGTGTGAAAACTTGATTATACTGTTCTTCTTTACCAATCTTGTGATAATGCTTTCATTTAAAACATTTGCTTGGTTGATTATTTTACAGCATGGGTTTGCACGGAATATGGATTGGACTGTTGTTGATTCTGAAAATGTGGAAGGAAATCCTGTTGTAACTCTGGAACTGAAGGATGCTCCTTATAGTCGTGCTATGTGGGATTTCAGCTTCCATGCTTTGTACAAGGTCAATGGCTTATTTTCTTCTAGCGCAGTTCACCTTTGCACTTTGCAGTACTAACTAGTCTACTTGTACTCATTCTTGTCTTGTTCTACTATCTAATGATGATGCAATTTCATGCTTCCTTTTTTCGCAGATCACACTAAATGCTAAAAGTCTTTCCACTGAGTTGAAAGTTAAAAATACAGACAAGAAGGCGTTCTCATTTAATACAGCCTTGCACACATATTTTCGTGTAAGTGATAAAGGTCATAGTTTTGTATAATCACTACAGCATAATCAGAATGAGGTTTCATATTTTTGCTTGAATATTGTTAACATATTGTATTGGACTTGTTGGAGATCTGAAATGAAACTATGCTTCCAATCCATTAACAAACATTTTTCGTTAAAATAATCATTTGAATGACTTAAAGTTATTCTAATGCATTTTTTTATATCAATTTTTTTGCTTAGACTTGTTGCTTAAACTTGTAAAGGTAATCATTTCAGCATTGTCATGCAGGCTTCTGTGAGTGGTGCATCAGTGAAGGGGTTGAAAGGTAGCAAAACTCTGAACAAGGATCCAGATCCTAAAAATCCGGTGGAGGGTAGGGAAGAAAGGTCTGTATCTTACTTTATGTATGGGAATTCTTAAATGGAAATAAAACATGGTAGCTACATGTACCGGGAAAAGAATATGGTAACTACTGAAGTTTGCTTTCCCTTAGTCCAGTGGCTGGATAAAAAAACTGTACTACCTATTGAGTATTTCTAACGATCTTTACCATGCTCTGCATACCATGACATGCATTTTCTCGTTAAATAAGACAACTAGTTGCCTAAAAGTCCACCTTCTTTATTTCCCTCATTTTGCCTGAATTTAAACTAGAATTCTGTATCATTACATTCATTTAGTGGCTAATTTCTGTTCTTGCTTCTTTCAATTTTCATTTCTTTCTCATTAGTCACCTTTCATCTTCGAAAGTCAGGGGGGGTTTGATCTTTTAGTCACCTTTCATCTAATGCTTAAGTATATTTTATCTCAATATATTTCATGTAAAACCAAAATTTCCGTGAATAAGGAAGAGTCAAATCTTAGCATTTAGTCTCAATTTATTAGACAGTAATCTTCATGATGCAGGGATGTGGTCACTTTTCCTGGATTTGTAGATTGCATTTATCTTGACGCTTCCAATGAGCTGCAACTTGACAATGGCTTGGGTGATCTAATATCTATCAAGAACACAAAGTATGTAATCTTAAACTTCTATTATAATAGTGTTATTTATTTGTTTTGCCCTGGTCACTTGCTTATCATCCTTTGCCCATGTAGTTGGTCTGATGCTGTGTTGTGGAATCCATATCTTCAAATGGAAGCATGTTACAAAGATTTCGTTTGCGTTGAAAATGCCAAGGTAATGAATTTACAAATTTTCTAGAAAGGGATCAAAGACATACCCTACTATGCGGTGCATCGTTCTTAATTACAATATCAACATGATGGCTATTGAATTTAAATAGACAAGTGGTTTTTGAACATATTCGTGAGCATCCTGCAGAAATGCAGTATTCTGATTGCTGAAATAGTTCTCAAGCCTTCTCTATTAATTCTTCTGAATTGTAATTCATAATTGTTTCAGATTGAAAGTGTCCAGATAGAGCCAGAACAAACTTGGACAGCTGTGCAGCATCTTAGCATTGCTTGAATCGTAACTGCGCTTCTACATCATCTATTATTTTTGTCTTATTTTGATTTGCCAGTAATATGTATCTTCTGTATTAATAATTTTCTAAGCCACAATAGCGGACTAGTGTGGTGAGGGATTTGATAGTTCATGAGTGGTGGTGACTGGTATCTCATAAGGTTGTAACAAAAATAAAAAAAATAAAAAAGAAGTAATAATTTCTTTTCTTTCATTTTTTATGTTTTCCACTATGGCGTTTGTTTTTATTTATTTTCACTTAATATGTTTTCATTTATAATTATGAAAATGTCATCAAGTTTTCTCATTATTTCTTGCTTATACGATATTGTGAAAGATAAGGAGTTTCATAATTTTCTATGCAAATTCTTGATAACAAAAAACAGTAAAAACTAGGTGATATATTTGTAATTATTAATAAAAATAATATCAATTGAAAATGAAAACAAAATCAAGCTATATACCATAAACATTTTTCTCATTTTCATTCCTCCCAATTAAATTCTATCCAAACAGGGGGTGGAAAACTAATATTTTATCTTCCAACTTTCCTTCGTTCCATTTTCATTATCCTATAATTAGCTCCCAAACATATCATATCCGTTCGCAATAAGATTGGGCATGTCATATATCTCTTGTATATGTGGGTGGGATCCAGCCCCAGCAAAGAACTCGTGGACAACCCCATTCAGGGTGATGCTACTGCATCCTGGAAGATTTAGCAGTCCCCTATGTTTTATCTGGCTTCTCACTTGAACCGCTTGGTTCCATTCTCCAGCTGCAGCATAAATGCTTGCCAAATGAACATACCGGCCACTATGATCGGGGTCCAATTCAATCAGAATTTTGCCAATCTCTTTACCAAGCTCAAGATATTTGTGTAGATGGCAGGCATTGAGCAGTGCTCCCCACATTGCAGCATTTGGCTTTACGGGCATGGACTCTATGAACTCCTTTGCTTCTTTCAACAACCCTGCACGACCCAGAAGGTCCACCATGCATCCATAATGTTCCACAGAAGGGTTCATGTTGTAAACAGTACTCATGCTCTCAAACAGGGACTTTCCTTCTTCAGTTAGTCCTGCATGACTACATGCTGTCAGAATTGCAGTGAAAGTGACCGAAGTTGGCTTGATTCCTGCTTTCTGCATTTGGATAAACCAATCTAGAGCTTCTCTTCCCTTTCCATGGACTGCAAAACCACCAATTATTGCCGTCCATGAATAGACACATTTCTTCTCCAACTTACTGAACACTAGCAGGGCTTTTTCCATTTCACCACATTTGACATACATGTCTATAAGAACACAACCCAAAACAGGATCTATTTTTATTTCGTTTTTATCAATATAAGTGTGAATCCACTTGCCTTGCTCCAATGCACCAAGGCCTGCACAAGCTGAAAGAGAGCAACTTAGTGCTATACTATCAGGTTTGATGCCTGCAACCAGCATTTGCTGTAGAAGAGACAGAGCCTCTTTGTGCATGCTTGTTCTAACAAAGCCAACAATCATGGTTGTCCAAGAGATAACATTCTTCACTGGCATAGCTTGAAAAATCTTGTAGGCCATGTCTACGTTTCCATATTTTTATTTGGGAGAAGTGTTTTTCATTTTAAATGACAGAAAGTTATGTCATTTTAAGATAGATACAGACACATACAATTTGAATTTTAAATTAAAAAAAATCACTCACTTTCTCTCTCCCATGATTTCCGTTTTTTCTGTGTCTATCTCTCTCCTAAAATGACATAACTTATGTCATTTAAAATAACAAACACCAAACCCATTTTATATACCCATCAATCATTGTATTCCAAGAAACAATATCTCGCGAGGGAAGCCGGTTGAATAGGACTTGTGCAGCTTCGATGCTGCCTGAAATTGCATAAACACGAAGGAGGGAGTTTGTGGCATAAACCTCGGAACTAAAACCCCTTTTGATAATGTGAGCGTGGATTTGCTGGGTTTCTTCAAAGGCTGAGAGGGCAGAACACGCTTTTAGAGGGAAAGGGAAAGTGTAAGCATTGTGAGGTACTGAATGGTGAAGCATTTGATGGTACAAAAGCAGCGCTGCTTCTGGGTCGTTACTGTTTGAGTATGCTCTTATCATGGTGTTCCACATAACAGTATTTGGTGAGCTTATTCTGTCAAAAACCACACGAGCATAGGCTAAGTTGCCTAACTCTTTTGATGCGTATGAAGCCAATAGCTTGCTTAATGTTATCTGGTGCATGATGGTGCCTTTTTTCAACAATTGGCCATGAATCTGATCCAGTTCTTTTATATTTGAACATCTCTCCAATAAAGCCTGGGTCTGCTCCGCATTGGGTTGCAGTAGCGGCATAGTCGCCATTTAGTACAAAGAAATCCAATTATCCTCCAAAGAAAAGTTGAAATAATTTGGAGGAAAAAGAACAAGACGTTGTTCTAAATTAGTGGCTTTAAATTGTTTACACTAGTTTGGGATAAGATACTTGTAGACCAGACAGAATATCCTGCTTTACATAAGAAAACAAAGATAAAAAAAAATAAATTTGCACTTCCTTTGGTTTTCATGTACTTGCTGTCTCTTCAGTTTTAAGTATTAACCAGATATTACAAGACAGATTTTCAACAAGAATTAAAAAAAGGAAAAAAGTTATTACTGTAGTAACATCCAGTTTGCAGTTGTAAATTCACCCCTACTTTAAGATAGTGAGGGAAAAACACACTGGAGGAGCAAACACAAACCTAGATGCAACATGAAGTGATAAAACAAACAGACAAACGCAGTAAACAGAGAAAAAAAGAACAGTGACATTTTGCTGATCAACTCTATTCAGCAAATTTTAGTTCTCGTGAACAAATTTGAATCAATTAACAGAACAGTTCTCAACAATCTAAGAACCATTGAAGCTTTAAAGAGGAAAGAAAGGAAAGCAGCTTTACAGTCTCAAAAGCCTAAACCACTCCCTCAAAGTTGCACCAGTCAAGAAGACAACGTTGCAATGATGCACACCAGCAGTATGATCAACCCCACAGCAAAAACCCAATAGACCCATTTTTTGTTCCTTTTCTTCATCTGGTTAGCATAGTAAAGACTATTAGTTCCACCATGAATGAAGTTACCCGCATTAACCACATTATCCTCAATGTTATCCAAGTGTTCTCCTTGTGTCTCAACCAGAATAGCCATATCAAGAAAAACCTGGTGAAGCTTATTCAAACTCCTCTGGATATCCAACACAGCCTCATGCCTAACCTGAGTACCCAAATCAGCCTCAGTTTTCCCAGCCAAAAACTCAACTTTGAGACTTCCTGAAATCATCTTCTCCATGACCTCCTCGCTGGGAACCTCACCAGTTACCGTATAGTATCTTCTCTTCAAATCTTCCTTGTGATCTGAAAGAATCTTGTCTCTCAAGGACTGAAAATCATTCATCATGTCCCTAAGCTTTACCCTCAAACCATTTGTGACAGATAATCTTGTCCTATCAACGGGGCTTCCCTCTTTGAAGGATTCTGATATGCTGCGATTGGCCATGTTGGATTGATCAAGAACCTCAAGCCTTGCCTTGATAATCTTTGCCTTGCGAAGCACGGCAACCATGTCAGACTCCATGCGGTCTCTTAACCCACGTAGAACTTTGGCACTGTGAGTGGACTTTGTCTCTTCATTCAGTTGCTGAAGATCAAATAAGAGATTGGTGATCTCTTCCATTTCAACCTTGATTGCTTCAACTTCTTGGAAGAACTGAGAGAGGTTATGGTCTTCTATGGGGTTGAGTTGACCTGCCTCAATGTCAAGATCGTCTTCAAGTTCCTTCTGAACGTGCTTCTTCAGTTCAACATAACTTAGGAACGATTTAGTCATCAGATCATTCATCTTTGCAAAATTTTGCAAAATCCAACCTGCAAAAGCAACAAAACCCAGAATCAATAAAGCAAGAAAATGGAATACTTATGGGTTTCATGAGAAAACAATGAAACACACCCTTTTGGAAAGATTCAAGAAATGAGTCAATTTCTCAATGGATGCAAGTTTTTGTCATGAAGCAATGCTCCAAGTGATCTAGATGAGAGAGAAAACACAGTCAGCGACGAGAAAATAACAAGGAAGACAAGAAAACCGCAATGTTAAAAAAGAAAAAAAGGGAAAAAGGGAAAGCCAAAAATGGAAAGAACGGAACATTAAAAATTGATTCTTTAGTATATCACGCACAGAGAAATGTGGTTCCAAAAAAGTTTTAGGTTGTATCAAAAAAGGAGAAGCAAAAGCCGTGCAATTTCAGAGTGGTAAAAAAGTTTGAGAAAATAGGAAAGGGGGATGGGTGAAAAAGAAGAGAAGAGTGTGACTGAACCTTTTCTTGGGTGCTAATGATCCCTTGAAGAACAATTCAGTGATAATATGATGATGAATGCAGTTTGAAATTTTGAGTCGGTTTTCTTAACATTGTGAAATAAATACCTTCTCGCAATTAAAATTTGAAATTTTTGGGTTCGGAGAAGTATCCGTTGGATATGAGAAGTGAATAAATGCGATGTTCTCTCTACACGCTAACTGTTGAACTTGAATGGTAAAATAGCAAAGTTAAAGAAAGAAGGAAATGTTATGTTTAGAATTATAAATCATTTCATCGTAGGCTTTTTAACCACTGTAGCCCTTTATTAATAATTATTTATCAAATTGTCCTCGATTAGAAACTATTACGAAAAATTAACCCTCCAAACAAACATAACACCAATCTGCCCTTGTTTGACCGTTGACCACGAAGCATACCCGGGTACCCCACTCCATACCCGGGTATATTTTAAAAAAATCAACCATACCCGGGTATGTAGTGGGGTACCCGGGTATTGTTCTTCGATCTGGAAATTTTTTGAATTATTTACCCGGGTAGGTAATGGGGTACCCGGGTATATTTCGCGAATAGGGTTTTTTAAAAGCCCCAGCAGCCCCCATTTGGAAAACCCACAAAGGGTACCCGGGTAGAGAGCTGTTGAAGTGCGATTTCGTCCATTCTGGGAGCACGTTTGATCGATCATCTCAAGACTTTGTCATCATCCTTGGCGCACGGTATGGGTTTCTTCTACCGATTGAAATTTCAAGATTTGTTATTTTTTTTCCGTTTGAATTTCTGATTCATCATAAAAATCGGCCTGACCTTGATGTAATCATGTATGCATTTTAATTTATTGCTTTGCTTATTGTTAATTTTCGTTTTCAAAATGCATTCTGATTTGTTGCTAATAAAAAACCCTAACCCTAACCCTAACCCTAAACCTTTTTATCCATATTCTCTGAAATTGAATTTTTTTTTTTAATTTTTTTTACAGTGTTATTGCATGGAGGACAGACGCGCTGGGAAGAAGAGAGCGATGAATACTGAAGGGAGGAGCAAGCACCGACATGATGTATCTTCCTCCTCTCAGCCCCAGGCTGTGCATCAGGCTCCGGACCTGCCGTTCGGATATTTATTTGAGGATGACGCTGGTGCACACGAGCGGTTTGTGAAGTTTTTCATGAGTCGAAAAATTTGTGAGCCGAAATCACTGGATTCGGCGTTCTTCAATTTGGAGCGGTTCGACATAATCCCACTTCTTCAGCAAACACATTTGCTGGTGCTTGCGGAGATGAGGTGCCCGTACTCAGAGGTCATGGTGCGAGCATTCTACCAGAACCTGGGCTATGTGCATGGTGAGCTAACTTCCCGTGTATGCGGGATTGATATCATCCTTACTGCTCCTATGTGGACAGAGTTGCTGGGATTTGACTTCGACGGTGAGACAGGGTCAGCACTATATGACGGAGACAGCCATCATATATTTGGTGGTTATGATAGGGAGGCTGTTGTGGCTGAGACCAGGAGGGCAAATGCAGAGGCCGGACAATTTGCTCATTACCCTTGGTATTGGGTACCCCGCGAAATCTACGCGGGTACCCCATTACCTACCCGGGTAAATAATTCAAAAAATTTCCAGATCGAAGAACAATACCCGGGTACCCCACTACATACCCGGGTATGGTTGATTTTTTAAAAATATACTCGGGTATAGAGTGGGGTACCCGGGTATGCTTCGTGATCAACGGTCAAACAAGGGCAGATTGATGTTATGTTTGTTTGGAAGGTTAATTTTTCGTAATAGTTTCTAATCGAGGGCAATTTGGTAAATAATTATTAATAAATGGCTACAGTGGTCAAAAAGCCTTTGATCGTATCTTATTCTTAAATTAAACGCTTTAAATTTTAATTATTTTTACCTATAAAATATATCAATTATTTTAATATATTATCTACTTATCATTTTATTATATAATACTTATTTTCTTTGAAATTAGATAGCAATGAAATGAACTTGGATTTAATGGACCTCATCCACAAGATCCATTTATTAAACTAGCATTATTTGAGTGGAAAGTTGAAACCCGAACGACGAACAAAATATGGAGAAAATCTTGCAAAATTCAGAAAATAGAAATAGAAATTTCTCTCAACTTGACAAAACCTATAACGTTCCATTAAAAATGGTAGAGGCAATATATATGTATTCAATATACTTGCGCTGGTTAATTAATACTTGAATGTGGCTAAACTATTTATAATTTTCTTCATACAGAAACAGAAACCCCTAGGCAAAAAATAATAACATTTTTTATTATTAATAAATTTGATTTACTCCTCCGATAACTAATTTTACATTAATTTTCACCAAATGAATAAACAGGTTTATTTTAATTAACTATAAAATTAACGCAATTAATTAATTAATTTTAAAGATTTAAGTTCACGTAAATCCAATCTTCCCATAAACAAAATCTTAGTTTACTTTCGTTTTATTTTCTTATTGAAAATATAAGTCGTGTTGATTTCTTAATTTGTGATAATAAAATACATTCTATTTTTTTTTTTGTTTATATTAGCTTTTTTAATTTTAATTTTACCGAATATATTCCTACATATTTTTTTTAAACAAATATATTAGTTGTGCACATCTTTTGTAGAGTTTAATAATGTGAAATTTAAGGAGATGCTAATAGCAATGATTTGCTATCTCCCAAACTTCTAGCTTTCTCGGATTTTGGTTTGATATTATCCAATTTTTATTTAAATTTATCGAAATATACTCTTTAGGTAAAGGTATCCTTTGAATAGCATTGTTTAAATAAAGTAATTACTTTAAAACATTTATTCTATTGTAAATTGCAGATAATATAAATATAAATGAAACACATATTTCTCATAACCAAATAAAGTTTTTATCATGTGTGATTACATATTTATGTTGAGCTCATCCTTAAAAAAAATTACTACAAAAAAAGGTTCAACAAATTTTTTGTAACTACGTCTGTTGTTTGGCCTTTTCAGCCTCAAGCTTTCGCAACATTGATGAACTCAGCTTAATTTCACCGGATTCTCCAGAGAGTAAATCTACAACTTCAATCTGCATAAATGCGACAAAAAATTTGATAAGTAGACAGATAAATTCTTTAGCTTTTTTATATCAGATATTATAACAAAACCACATAAACAATAAATTGAGACCTTTAACTGTGAAAGGCCTCTTTCAGCTCTTTTTCTGTTTACTGCCAATCCACCCGGTAATGTCTCTTTGCTATCAGAGAACCAACTCCAGTTAGTAATCAAATAACTGAGTGACATTTCAAAGTCAACATATATAACGTTCTGTTCATTTGTTTATACTGCAATCAGAATTGAAAAGAAATCACAAAATCATGACAACAATGGACCTGGGAATAAAAGAAGATACTCAGCTCAATTTGCTACCAAAGCAAGACTTTAATTATCATGAACGTAGTTCAGAAAATAGCCAATAGGAATGAAATACTTAGTCACAAGATACTTTTTATAAGCTGTCATATCAAGATATATAATCGAATGCACACTTCATAGTTCATACCACTACCAAATATTAAGACGACATACATACAGGCCTGCGTAATTACAAACCTTACAATCACAGCCTCTAAATTTTCATCCACAATGGAAGGGCCATACGGATCTGTGATTGGTACAGCTTGCACTTCCAACTCTGGTTTGATAGACTGCAAGTTTGTTCAAACTAATATTTATCAAAATTTAAACAAGAAAAAAATGTATTTTTAACATAAATCCTGCTAGAAGAAACACTATATGTAACTGATTGAACACTATATCAGTAGATCATTCATTTTCTCACTTATCTACCGAAATAGAAACTAACAATAAAACTATGCAGCCCCTCCTAAGTACACTGTGCTACTTGAAAAGTTGAAACAGATTTGTTGCTGTTAAACTGACGATAAAAAAGTCTACAAATCTAACTCTGATATTCTACATTAACATGCAAAATGAAAAGCTTTTAAGTTTTCTGGCCAACAATTATACATGTCAAATTAAAAAAAAAGAACAAGGAATTCTTTTTATGAAGGCAAACTGTCATTGCTTAGTCTCGTACTGAGTCGTACCTTTATGAAAGTCTTGACATTATGTATCCTTTCCTCAATGGGCTGTATCAGTTCAGCGAACTGCAAAAGTGGAACAAAGATCACATAAAGAATTTTCAAATCTAAACATGGAAGGAAAACACGAGGTAAAAATAAAAAGGACTCCTTTACGTGTAAAAATCCACAAGCCTCAAGATTGTCATATAGCACAAGGCTTCAAATTTAGCTAGCTTCTATATAATTTACAAAAGATGTTTTGATAAAAATGAAAACTTGATCACTAAATTTTACTAGCTAAACACTTGAAGCATTTAATTGTTTTCTCCGTTTAAGTAACAAATTCAGTTTAACTGTTTAAATTTTGAGAAGTGACGGCTGATGATTATCCTTAGTTTTGAGTTTTGACTTTAAAACTTCTCTTTTATGTAATTTGATATCCTTCATCTATTTCATCTGTGAGTAATCCAAAATGATATAGACTTACTTCGAATAGAATGAGGCTGACAGAGAATTCAACAAGGGAATATGACAATTGAAGATAAAAGCAAAGAGCAAAGTTCAGACTAATTATTTCATTATTGTTTTAACTCTCAGCAAACAAACTAATGACCATGTCTTGGAGTACCAGATTCTTGGACCATAACAATCCACAAGACAGAAACTTACCTGACCAAATCAGACACAGCAAGGCATAACAGAGAGAATTGACACCTAAAAGTTTGATATTTTCAATAGAACTTGAAGGGTAAAAAAAAAACAATTCAACAAGTGCGCTGGTTCTCAAAAGTGAAATGTTATTAAAGCAACCAAATCAGTAATAGTATTTACATTGTGAAGTTTAAGCTATACAGTTGAAAACATAAAATCAGTAATAGGGTACATAAAAACCCTATTCTGAAACAGCAACGCGGATAAGCAGTTTCAGTCTCTCAGCACAGTTAAGAGTCTAATTAGCAGCAAATAGACAAAGGTAACTGTTAAATCCACACAATGACAATGACAATGACATCTCTAAAATGGAAAAGGAAACCTGCTTCTTTGCCAGCATAGGCCCCTCGCAAACTCCAATCACAATCCGACGCCTTGCCAACTCCGCTGAAGCCTGCACAACACTTGGCATTATCTAATTTAAAAAATAAAAAACAAAAATGGAAATTTCGGAGAGAATTAACGAGATATTGATAACCGAAAGAGGGAGCAGTTGAGCATATAGAGAGAGAGAGAGAGAGAGAGAGAGAGAGAGATACGGTGAGAAAGAGGCGGTGGCCGTCGTGCAATCGGTCAAAGGTGCCACCGTTGACCACAGCTTCGTAGGTATTGGGCGGAGATAGGTTCGGAACCACCATGGGATCATCGTGAACCGCCATTCAAATAGCTTCAACTGCAAGCACGAGCCAGCAGCGGTGGATGTGAGATAAGAATCGGAGCAGCGAGGATCACATGCCAAACTAATGGGTTGGTTGTGGTGTGCTTGAGCATCTAACCATTTGCTATACGAGGAAAGTTCAATTCCCACTTTAATAACGTGTTATATAATTTTTAATTTTTTAATTTTTCAACCTCAAACGAACATTAGACAAGGTTGTCTAAAGTAACATTAGATACTTTTTTCCCATATATATATATAGGGTCAAGAACATTTTACACTAGTGTAAGTTACACCTTATGTATATATATGGAAAAAATATTTATCCTTTTAAATGACACAACTTATATCATTTCACTCTCACAAAGAGGTGGGACCCACACCTTTATATTTTTTTATCTACTCTCTCCTCTTTTATCTATCTCTTACCGGTCGTACTCCTCGTAATTCTGAAAAGTTACTTTTTTTTTTCACTCTACACGTCAGCAATGTGACTAGGGAGAGAGAAAAAAAAAGCAACTTTTCAGTTTTACACAAAGTACAACCGGTCGTACTTTGGGTAAAACACCTAAAATGACACAAGCTTGTGTCATTCAAAAGGATACTTCTTTTTCCCATATATATATATATATATATATATATATATAGAAAAATATTTGTCATTTTAAATGACAGAAAGTTATGTCATTTTAAGAGAGATACAGACACAGAAAATTTGAATTTTAAATTAAAAAAAACACCCACTTTCTCTCTCCCATGATTTCCGTTTTTCTGTGTCTATCTCTCTCCTAAAATGACATAACTTATGTCATTTAAAATGACAAACACCAAACCCATATATATATATATATATATATATATATATATATATAGGGGAGGGTTTTTTTGAGTCCAGAGTAAGACTTTTAAGTGTTACTCCTCATCTTAATCGTTGATGGATGAAAATCAACTGTTGTCATTTGTAATATAATTAATAATTAATTAATTAATATAATTTCCTAAACTATAACCGTTGGATGGACGGAAATCAAGGGCTGAGATAAGGGAGTAAGACTTATAAGTAGGGGTGCTAAACGAGCCAGGGGACTTTGGCTCGGCTCGTGAAGGCCTGAGCTTACATGTCTGAAATTGATTGTTGGACCCACGCTTGGACTTGTATAAAAGCTCGTTTAATAAAAAGGCCTCAGGCTCTAATTCAAAAGCTCGGCCTTAGAGCCTCTCAGGCTTGCCTAATATATAATTTTTTTATTTTTATACTACTTGTGATAACCCTCTCTCTCTTTTCAATTCATTTCATCCCATTTTATTAATTAAACAGACTTTTTAAATGATTTTATTTTATATATGCTATTTGGATATACATTAAATTTATGAATATTTATGGAATTACTAGTGCTGTTGATTGTATATTTTGTTTGGATAAATTTTTGTTGTCTTCTTTTTTTTAAACAGGCTAAACAAGACTTTTATTTGTTGTAAATGAGTCAGGCCACAGGCTGATATTATATTCGTAACAGGCTAAGGCCAGTCTGACACATTTGAACACAGGCTCGGCTCGTTAAGACCAAAGCTCGGCTCGGCTCGTTAACACCCCTACTTATAAGTCTTACTCTTGAGTCAAATGATCTCTCTCCATATATATATATATATAGATAGGATCAACTTACACCAGTGTAAGAATAATAAATCTTACACCAAATCTTAACCATTGATTTTCGTGCATCCAACAGTTGAGATTTATTGGGAATTAAAAATTAATTAATGAGTGAGACCTAATAAATCTTAACCGTTAGATGCAGAAAATCAATGGTTAAGATTTGGTGTAAGACTTATTATTCTTACGCCGGTGTAAGATGATCATGCCTCATATATATATAAATATATATATATATATATATATATATATATATATATATGGTTCGCTTTTTCTACGATCAATGTAAATAACTTATCGACATTGAGCCCAAAACGACGTCATTTTGAGGCGAAAATCAAGGCTTTTTTATATATAATTTATTTCAGGCTTATTATAGTCTTTTTTATTATAATTTTTCAACCCAAAATGACGTCGTTTTGGGAGCGAATGTAGATAATTTGTCTACATTCACTTTAGAAACGTTAAAGCCTATATATATATATATATGAGAAAAGTATTTCTCCAGTCAATGGAGATAAAGTCATCTCGAGTTGATTTTCGTGCATCTAATGGTTGAGATTTATTGTGAATTAAAAATTAAATATATAGGCTTTAATGTTTCTAAAGTGAATGTAGATAAGTTATCTACATTCGCTCGTAAAACGACGTCGTTTCGGCTTGAAAAATTTAAATGAAAGATAACTTATCTACATTTACTTTAAAAACATTAAAGGCTCTATATATATATATATATAGGGTTTGTTTTTCTAAAGTTACTTTAGATAACTTTATCTAATGTTCATCAAAAGGACGTCGTTTTGGAGCGGAAATCATAGTGTTTTTGTAATTTTAATTTATTTCAGGGTTATAATAGTCTTTATTATTCTAATTTTTTAATTTTTCAACCCCAAAACGACGTCGTTCGATGAACATTAGATAAAATTGTTTAAAATAACATTAGATACTTTTTTCCCATATATATATATATATATATATATATATATATATATATATATATATCCGTGCGTGTGAAGAAAAAATGACTTTGTTTTAGGGGATTGTTTTTCTCATAAAGTGGGGGACAAGTTCTCTTATATTGAGAAATAATTAAAATAGGACCTATTAATTTTCTTTTTAAAAAAAAGAGGCACATTTTTTTTACGTGAGAACAAGAGAAGATATTTTTAAGCAACGTAAGAATATAATTTCTCTTTGTTTTATCTCATAATAATTTATCAATTTTAATCTTTTAATTTTTAAATTTTTTATATATATCACATGATTTTTATTTATAAATTATATAATTATAATATTTATTATCTTATTTATGTTGTATCAAATCTTATAAAAATTTGATAATAATAAAAAAATAACTAAATAATTCTTATTTTTTATATATTTTAAAATATATATTTTGTTAATTTTAATAATGCATTTCTAAAAAATTATTAAAAATATTTGAATAATATGAAATTTTATAAAAATAATTATATGATACAAAATTCTAATTTAATGATAGATTTATTATATTTTTATTTAATAAAAAATTATCTAATAATATAAAAGTAATTTTGATTTTATACTTAAGTAAATTAATAGTTCATTTACGTGTGTGTGTAAATTTAACTTTTTTTTTAATTCAAAATTTAATATAATATTAATAGGGTTTGCTTTTTCTGCAGTTACTGCAGATAAGTTATCTGCAGTAAGCCCAATACGACGTCGTTTTGGGGCGATAATCATGGTGTTTTGGTAATTTTAATTTATTTCAGGGTTATAATAGTCTTTACATTTATAATTTTTTAAGATTTCAATACCAAAACGACGTCGTTTTGAGAATAAATGCAGATAATTATCTGCAGTAATTGCAGAAACATTTTTCCCTTATTAATAATAAATAAAATAATTAAATAAGTGAAATAATATTTTGAAAAATAAATAAAATATACCTTAAATTATATAGAAAGAATAATTTTATAACCATAAAAGTTACACTCTCAATCTTAATTGTTAATTATATTTATTTCTTATAATTTTAATTTATTATATATATGAGTAAGCAATTAATACCTAAGACATAAGAGTTCTTATTTTTACATAATTGTATGTTGATTATGCTCCAATTATATAATATATTTTAAATAAGATTGAATATAAGGAAATTATCACTTTATAACAATACAAGAATAACTAGTTTTATATAAAATCTTAGGAAAAAATATTTATTCTTTTAAACGACATAATTTATGTCATTTCACTCTCACATAGAAGTGGGATCCACACATTTTTTTTTTGTTCACTCTCTCTCCCTCAAGATTTATCTCTTTCTTTTATTTAAAATAACACAACTTTACATCCTTTAAAATGACACACACTTTTTCCTAAATCTTATACATTAATCCAATTATACCTGGTGGTTCATATAGTTAATAAATTAAAATTGTGAGATATAAATATAATTAATGATGAAGATTTAGAGTAACTTACATCAATATAAAATTCGGTTAAATATATCTTACATTATATCTCTATACAAAGATAATAATATAATTTTTTAAATAAAAATTATATTAAAATTGAATTTACCAAAACATGAGCATAAGTATATAATAAATAAAACAATATATATATATATATATATATATATATATATATATGTATGGGGTTTACATATCTGCAGCTGTTGTACGTGCAACAGTCAAATACTTGCCATATATACGTAAAAACATTAAATATGGGGAATCATAACTATACAAAAGATGAAAGTATTAAATGTGAAAAATCATAATCATACAAAAGATGAAAGTATTAAATGTGAAGAATCATAACTGTATCTATCGTTGTTATACGTAAAGCGGCTGTAGAAATAATTTTACCTATATATATATATATATTTATATAAATCCTTGGTGTTAAGTTTGAATGCAAAATAACCGAACCGAACCATATTTTTTCTAAACAAATTTTGAGAACCAAATTGATTTTATAAATCGATTTAAAAATTAAACTAAATAAAAATAATTGGTTCGAAAATTAATTCAGAACCAGTTTAAAAATCAGTTTGCTTAACATAAAGTGTGGAATTGAATCTATCAATATCACACAAGCGGGAAGCTGGCCAAAAAGCTGATGTTGCTTGAAAGGGGGCTATCAATTCTAGAACAAGCCATTTATTGTTTGGTACAAGAATAGGACGGAAAGAAAATAAATCAACAATGTATGGAGACAAATTGGTATCCAGATACATGAACAAATTATTCTATTTTATTTTTCCCATCCGCCACCAAACTTGGATCCAACCGCTCTAGTGACTTTCAGAATATAAAAATAATGAAATACTAACAACCACACTATTCGATACAATTTATTAGTAATGCAACATGAAATTTAATTAATATGAAAAAAAAAAGTTAAAAGACATGGTTCGTTTGAATACTGTTTCTAAAAACAGTTTTTAATTTTAAAAATATATATATAAAAAAAACTCATTTGATAGGTTTGTTTTGTAAAAAAATTTAAAAATTATAAGGAAAATGTTATACTTACAACCTATTTTTTGTTTACAACTTCTTACAATAATATCATAACCGTTGATTTTCGTCATCAACGGTTACCATTTATTATGAATTAATAATTAATTAATAAATTTCATTTGTGAAAATCTTAACCGTTGATTGACGAGAATCAACGGTTAAGATATGATTGTAAGAGGTTATAAACGAAAATAGGTTGTAATTATAACTTTCTTAAAATTATAAATATTTTTTTATTTTTAGAATCAAATATAGAAATTATATCTAAATTATTTTATATTTTGACTTTTAAGTTTCAAAATAAAAAAATATATATTTTTATAAGTATAACTATTCTACAAAATAGTTTGAAGAGAAAAAAAAAAAAAAAAACACAATCAAACGGTGCTCTTCCTAATCGGGCTCCAGTTGCTTTGCACCGATGGGATGGTCTATCAATACGGAGAGTGAAATGACCAAAACAAAGACAAAGGTACAAATCTGGAATTAAGTGCCTGTTTGGATTCTCTTTTTTAAGCTACAAGATACTTATAAGCATAAGCTAGGTCAAACAGGTTTTGGGAAAAAGCTCTTATAACAAAAAACTCTTTTTTTAATAATGAAGAAAAAAGCTGAAAACTAAAAGATACTAGAATGAGCTTTTTTTTAAGCTCTTATCTGTTTTTCTTGAATTGTGTGTTTTTTTTAAAATGAAGAGTGATAAAGATAGAAAGAGATAATTTTCTTGAAATATGTGCTTTTAAGTAATTTTTAAGCTAAAATTTTTATGTAATTTTCAAATAACTTTTAGCTTATTTTTTTAAGCTCTTTTTTTTAGCTTTAGCTTATAAGTAGCTTCTAACTTAAAAATAAGAGGATCGGTTAAATTCTCTATTTAAAATTTAGGCTGTCGTTATATTACTTTTTTTTTAAAGAAGTATCATTAAATTAGTCAGTTAAATATTAAAATATTATCATTTTATTTTTCCAAAAAAGAAATCGTTGAATTAGTCTCTTCAAGATATTTGATAGAGGATAAATTTTTTTATGCTCAAAAATCATAATTTCTGAAAATATAGTGAAAAAGTGAATTTTCTGGAAACGTGACCAAAAAACTATTTGGATGCCAAAATATTATCAGAATGTGGATTCAAATTCAGTGATTCTATATTTGATTGATTGTTATTAGAAATGTAAGTAATTTTACAAAAATAACTCCACGTTTCAATCTTTTCTTGAAGCACAATTTACAAGTTCTTCCTTGAATTTTATACAGAACTTTATTCCCCACTCATCGCATTTCCTCTCTTCTCTCATTGCCTCGTTAGATTTCTCGCTCAACTTTCTGTCTTTTTGCTAGATTCTCAATCCATTGCCCTATTCCTTCATGGGTTGGAACTCAATTTGGGTTTTCATTTCTGGGTTTTTGCCAAATTTTTAAGTGCTGAACATTTCAATTTTTAGTAGAATTTTTGATTCCAGGAGAGAGTTTAATTCCACATTCTGGGAAATAAGTCTGTGAAATCCTTCTGGATTTTCAAATTTGACAGAAAAATTTAATTTTTTTATTCAATTTTGGATTTTGACAACTGGGTTTGTACGAGAATGCCTACTACCACGGAATATCAAGGTTTTGTTCTAAATCTCCATGGCACTCAAGTTTCCTCCATGAAGGTTCAAGCTTGGAGCAAGAGCTTGATTTGTTTCAAAAACTGGAAGGTTCATTCCGTGTCATTAGCAAAAGCGGCGTGCTCTACAAATTATCAATTTTGTTTTTCAGATCTATCACGAATAGGTTTAACAGAGGGTTTATTTTGTCAACAAAATTGTGTGAAAATTTCTCATTCACTGGGAATATGAAAATACCACCTCCTTTGTGATAATTTTGGATGATATTTTTACATACAAATATTTCACAAATCAAAATCCCGAAAAAATTAGATTATCGATAAAATTTTCTCAATCCCTTTACCAAATGTGGATAAAAAAAATCTTAATATCAGTTTTTCGAGTATCTCAAAAAAATCCCTACAAAAAAATCTTAAATAAATTTATCCATACAAAAGACTAAAGTGATAATACAAAATGATAAATTTAGTGATAATTATGTACTTTTAAGGGGTTAATTTAGTAAAAATTTATTTAAATGACTAATATAGTGAAACTCTAATTTTTAATTAATTAATTTAAGAACAAAAATATTTATAGGACTAACGTGACGAAACACTAGTTGAATGAAGGGTTTATTTCCAAAAATTATGTGAAGCAATTGGTATGGGGTTATTTCAGTTTAACCAGCGTTATTGAAATTGAATCTTAATTTGACTCAATTTAATCGGACTATGGAAGTAATCAGTGAATTAGTGGAAAAATCTTTAAAATAAAAATGAAGGATTTATTCCTTGCTTTTATTAGGACAACGACGTTCAAAGTGGCTAAATAAAGTTATGCATGCAAATTAGCACATAAAGGCAATCATTGTGAACCCTCGATACAATTATTTGCCTTTGACGTATCTGATGTTCTTAGGGATATATTAATGGGTAATTTTGGGCAGTTTTGTTAGGAGTTAAGCATTATTGTAGTGGCTTGTTTTATTTCATTTTAATCTATTTAGTTGTTGCTATAGTGGATGGTTACTACTTTCAACTTGTACTTTGTCTATTTAAACCTTCATTATGTTGAATAAAAAATCATCAATAGAGAATTAATTTTTTAATTAAGATAGGTCGCAAAGGGAAACCCATTTATATACTAACGTGGTATCAAAGCTAGAACATAGACAAATGGACGAAAAAGTTAGAAGACACAGTTCAGTTCCATACAATTCAAGCATATTTTCACCCAACTTCGCAAGCCTAAACCGTCGAAAGGGAGAGTTTGTCAAAATGAGAGAGAGAGAAAAAAAAGCCTTGATTTTTTTGTTGGATAAATAATCGTTTTATTTCTCTGTAGGGGAAAGTATCATTACTTTTACAAAAGTTTAATTAATTAAAAAAAAAAAACTTCTATTTAGAATTTTTTGATCAAATTCCCAATTTTCAACTTATGAAAGTGTAGTAAAGCAATTTTCTATTACGTTTTTTTTATTTTTTTAAAAAATTATTAAATTATAAAAAAACTAAACATCTTTAACAAAAAAAAAATGTGTTTTTCTTTAGAAAAAGCCCAAACAAACATCGCTTAATTTTCCTTCGTACCTCCTACGGGCAATATGCCAGTTAATGGTTAGCACCGGTTGATGTATACGCTATACAAACTGATATTAAGAACACCGACCAAAATGTCACTCTTCATCAAGTTTTTTACTTAAATGTCACGTGAACAGTGTTATTTTTCAATATGCCACGTGAACAAGTTCGCTAGGCACTGTAGCGAACTCAGTTTGCTGACATGTCACGTTTATAGTGGATAACAAATACCAAGTTAAAAAAAAAAATAGAACCAAGTTCGCTACACGGAGTAGCGAACTTGGTTGAAATATATATTTCAACCAATTTCGTTACTCTGTGTAGCGAACTTGGTGTCCACTTAAAACACGACACATCATCACTGGGTTCCTTATAGTGTCCAGCGAACTTGTCCACGTGGCATACTGAAAAATAACACTGTTCGCGTGGCATTTAGGTAAAAAACTTGATGAAGTGTTCCCTGATATCAACCCCTTTTTGGGTGTATGCCGAAGTGCTGTATCTAGAGATGAAGTACAACATATCTGTCCAATATGAATTAATATGTTTGAAGCCCGGGTACGCAGTTTCGGCTTTATGTACACTACTTTATCAATCTAACAAAACCAGGTCCTAGGGCCTCATCAGTTTGCCATGTTCAATTTCTGTTAAGTCACTTGATCTTGTACTAATCGTCAAAAGAAGCACCCAATTGTGCAATTGGCACTGTTTGCATCCCCCAAATACATGCTTGCGTATCTGATCTATATGTTGTCGTTTTTTTTTTCTCTCCTTGTGATAGTGAAGTTCTTGTCCAATCGGAAAACTCAAGCAAATACCATTACGGACATGCAATAATTTTACACTTCAAAGGGACTAGAACTTAGGACGTGCAAGTGGTCTGTTTGCCTATAGCACAACACTCTTTCAAGAATTCATTAACCAGTGATAAATATACGTCCGGGAAAGTCCTATAATGATCCACATGGGGAGATGAGCCGAAGTTAAAGGACTTTACCCTCCTTCCCATCTTCCTCTGCTCTTCAATGAACACTTCTATTGATTGAAATGGGACTACTTTGTCAGCTGTACTATACAGGTAGAGCTGAGGGCAAGACTGGTGCTTCAAGAGGACACTGACAATCTTCGTTAACCTCCTGTATTTAAGGCAGGAAAAATGTGCTTACTATTTACCATTTTGAAGTATATATGAGCTCCTATTAACAAAATTAAACGTAGCTGCGACCCATGCCACATGAATTATGAAGCAACATAAGATTACAGGGAAGACACTTACTGATTCACATCTGGCACCTGCAAAAGAAATGAGAATAACTTCTCTAATAGTGACAAGACCACGATTTCAATTGTCGAAGGTTTGTTTTGTTGAATAGCTTCAGTCTCTGATTTAAGTTTGTCTCCTACCTCGACTTCAGCTTGGGCTGAAGAGCTGCGTTTCTTCAATATAGCAGCAGAAAAACCAGCCGCCCAGACCTACAATATGAACATATATGTCACCCATATTGACACAGAGAAAACGAGAATGAGGGAACAATTTGATAATTCGCCTAGAAGAATAAACAACAAATCAAGGTGGTTAAAAAAATAGACTCAAGAAATTGAAGTCTTGCATAAGAGATTCCAATATGCAATGAAAGATGGGGGGAGGGGGGAGACCAAAAAACAATCAAGGCGCAAAGAAGTAGATTACTTCCATTGTTAAAGAAAATTAATGTATTCTATACTGATAGTGTGAGTGATGATTCACTTTTGTTTGACACCCAGAAACAGAAATCTCCTTCTAACATAATGGTGCAAGGGAGACTAGAGAGTGAGGGGAGGCGCTTGTCCTAACCAATGACAACGTCTAACAAATTCAAGAGTAATCAATTCAAAGGAAAATACAGTTTTGCCAACCACAACCAAGAATTTACTCTCAAGTTCTCAACAAATAAACTGCAAAGTAGCAGCTAAGTTTCTAAACACTAAGCACATCCAACAACTAGAAGCACAGCACGAATCAGCAACTTTGATCCAGATAGGTGCAACTCAGCCCCATTTGCGCCTCGAGTTTAAAAGACTCTGCTGCTACAGCCTGGCAGTCCAAACACTTATTCAAATGAACCAGGGGCAATTGTTCTTGACCTATATAATCAGTCCCACAAACTCTATGAGATATAAACCTTATCTTGTAAAGAACCAATTCAACCCAAAAGTTTAAGTTGGGTGAGACAACATCAATGGTTTTATATATATCTAACACGCTTTCTCACAAGAGAGCCCATTGAGCAAATGGGAGGTGAGGATCATCGACCCCGGAACACCGAGGCTCTGTAAAGAACCAATTCAACGCAAAAGCTAAAGCTGTTAGGTGAAAGCTACATTAATGGTTTTATATATCTTAACATATCTAATAAAGAGTTTAAGTCCTATCTAAACCCTCTCTCTCTCTCATTTTCTCGGAAACCCTCTCTATAAAAGCCCCATAGCTACACACTTCTAAAATCCTAACCTCCTTTATTACCACTTACACGCCATATGGCGTCGGTGCTCGTATCCCATATTAATTAGATCCTGTTGGATCGAACACGATAGATACTCCAATTATACACTTGAGGGAGATGAAGAAGAGCAAATAAACAATATTCAGTCAGAATACTTCTAAATCAGAACCTGTGGATTAAAAGGTTCTCCCCCTCCCGAATCAACAATGCATCCTTTAATCTTCTCCATTAGCTCCTGACTACCCAGCATTCTGCCAAGAATGGAACCATAGCTAAAAAAAAAAAGTAAAAGCACTCAACAATATTAGCAACAAAACACGGCGAGGCATTGCGAAAGAGCATAATCATTAACCAATCGACATACATAAACCAACCCGTATTGCTGAAAGTGTGAAAAACCAAACACCGTTCTCTCCCATCATGTTCCTCGCCAGACACCCAGGAAATGAGGTTATCGGCGAACAGAGAGATTCGCCTCTCTAATATCCGCCCAAGGTCAAATCGAAGTAGTTCCTTCATATCAACGACGAACGTGACAGCATGAACGCCCCGCGAATTGTACCACTCCACGTACCTTTTGAGGTGCTTCGTCTTTGCTCCGAGCCACCCCAACAAAACCACCGTCGCAACGCGGCCTTTACCTCCGCAAAACCCCACCTTTGCGTTCTCCGAAACCGGGTTCCAACCGATCTCGCCACCTTGTGAATGAGAAAAAAAAGGGTTAAAATTATTGTGGGGGATCGAAAATTTGAGATTTTGGGAAGAGGTGAGAGAGGAGAAGAACCTGATGGGAACCGAATTCGGAGAAATGGGTGAATGCGAAGAGCGAGTGAGAGTGGAAGAGATAGGTATCCTGGGAGCGAGGCATTGGTGGGAAGGGAAAGGGCGCGTGGTGGTTTTGAGTAGTAGGTGGCGCCCCAAAATGGAAGGGTTGAAGATTCTAAGATGAGCTTCCATGGCAGAATACGATGATACACAAAACGGTCTTCACTTTTCAGATCCAATACACAAGGGTTTGTTTTCTTCGCCAAAAAGCAGAAGAATCTCAAAAGTCAAAAGCTATATTATCTCTGTAACTGCGCTTAATATAAAGCACTTTTAGTAAACCCGATCCGTCAGTGATCTTGTTGAGATACTGGGTTAATGATTATATGGATTCGCCGATTGACGTGGATATATATAAGTAGAAGAAGATTATATTTATAAATTTTTTGTTTATAAATTTTTATAAATTAAACTATTATTATTGGTCATATTTTAATTAAGAATATATGACTGCTCATATTTAATGTAATTTATAAAAAAAAATTATAAACAGATCATTCACATAAAAATATATATAAATATAATCATATAAAATTAGTTAATCAATGTTTACTAAATAAGTTCAAAAATTACCCAATCACATTTTTACAAGTTCGTAAAACACAAATAAATAAAAATGTACGTTATTATTATGTCAATTTAAATTTGTAACTCAGAATCCTACTAAACACACCTCTCAATGATATTTAAATTGTCAGATATTGTGAACTCCTATTTTTTAAATTCATCTATATTGAAATGACATATGTCACATTCTCTTAATTTACAGTTTCGTAAATTGCTTCAGTATTGAAAACTGAAATTTGAAGTCATTGTATAAGAGTATAATACTAGCAAATAAAATTATAATTTTTTTAAAAAAGAGTTCTATTGTATTTTCCGATAAGATGCAATAATTTTGGTTTTTAATTTTTTTTTATTTTTTATAAAAATGCATGAGTTATTATATAAAGTTCTTTATAAAATAACATGTTATTAAGATACATTATTAGGTCAAAGTAAAATTGATAAATACGAATTTAAAACAAAAAATAAAACTGAAAAATAAATATGTGAATTTTAAAAAGCTTATATATATTTATATCTTAAAAAATCTCATTTTGATAGCTTTTAACATTTATTTCTTTACTCATTATAATAAAAAGTTCTTTATTTTTTATTCATTATAACACAAAATTCTTTTTATAATAAAAACTTTCATAAAAATATGTTTGGCTAAACTATTGTTAAAAATAAGATTTCCCAAAAAGACATAAAATGTAAGTATTTTAGTAATTGTAGGTGGGTCCACAAGTTCTAAGGTAAAAATATGGCAAAACAACCCCTCTTATGTAATTAAAAAAAATCATTCATATTAGAGGAGCTTTTGAATATATATATATATATATATATATATATATATATATATATATATAAGTCATTTAATGTAAGGTGATGTTGATAAAGAATTTCCTCCTTAAACTTAGCCATAAGGAAGACAATACAAGGTGAAGTGTGATGACTAAAGTGCTATTCATTTGGTGAAAAATTCTACCTATCACTCATATTAATGTAAGACATCATTAGATTTAGGATATGTTAGAGGAAAAATAGCTTCAACTCGTAAAGGTGAATATAAACATGAATTGGTTAAACATGAGGACGAAGCAACATAGTGTCATCAAGGAAGTTTAAAAACTATTGCTATAGGAAGTCAATGATTGTAATAGGTTGTGTGTTCAATTCCCATCAATGTATAAAAAAAAAAACTATTGCTAAAGTTTTAAGCTAACGGACCCGACGCATTGAAGTTGAAAGAGGAGATTTGTTGAGATGAGTTCATCATTCAATGCTTGGTAGCTGAGCGTGCAAAACATTTATCGTTGCACAACTCAATGTGTGATCTAACACACCAATAAATACAACAATCCCATTAATTGCAATAGATTCTAGAAGGATGTAAAGAGTTTTATCTCATCTATATAATGAGATGAACGTCATTTATAAAAGGTTAAACACTTACAATGTATTCATCTATGATTGAAGCTTGGGAATATAGACGAACTTTGTATATCACCTTTGTTAGATGAAGATGGAGTGTGTACCTCTAATAATTACGGAGAATAACTGTTATAATTCCATTATTCATAGAGTAAAAGATTTTACCGATTTAAGTCCCATAGTTTTTACTCTTATGTATTAGGAAAGGTTTATCACATTAAAATTACTATGTATATTATTTGTTTATTTCCATCTTTCATTTTCTGTATTACGAACATTTTATGAGTCAAATTCTACCCGAAAACAAGATCCTTGTCTAATATTAACACAAGCTTAGGAGTTTTTTTTTATACAAGATTTACTCCTAGTTCTAGTAACATGCTCCGTTGTTTTTCATACACTGGATGCATTATCTCTCTTCTAGTCAGGGGCGGCGCCTCCTTTTGTAAGAACAGTGACTAAAGTGCCACTGTTTTTCATCTTATTTTTTTAAATGCCACATCAACAGTACAATTTACCAATCTGCCACGAGTGCAAGTTCGCCCAGCGAAGTAGCAAACTCTGTGTACTGATGTGTCACGTTCCTGGTGGACATGTAGTTCGCTTGTTATTTTATTGCATCACATGCAGAAGATGAATCAAAGACAAGCAAGAAGAAGCAATAAGGAGAAAGGGAAAGTCAAAAATTATATTCATCAGAAAAGTGAAGTGTACAACTAAGTCTATCTTCATTCACCCTTTATGGTGATGTTATGTCTGAGAGCAAAAGTAAAATAGAATAGTAACTAACTTGGTTACAACTCAACTATACAAACAGAATAGTAACTAACTCAGCTAAGGTTAATAAACCATGGTTAATAAATTGAATCAGAGTATTAATTTATTAACTATAATACTCCCCCTCAAGATGGAGAGTGAATGTCATGAATGCCCATCTTGGATAATAGTGGCAGTAATTTTGTTGATGGTAAAGCTTTAGTGAAAAGATCAGCAAGCTGAGAATGTGTCCTGATAGGAAGCAATTTGACTAAACCAGAGGACACATGATCTCTAACGAAATGACAATCAATCTCGATGTGCTTCGTACGCTCATGAAATGTGGGATTAGATGTTATGTGGACAGCAGCCTGATTATCACAAAATAGGAGGGCATGAGAAGTAAGCTTGCAACCAAAATCTAGCAGCAATTGCTTCAGCCAGCATACTTCTGCAGTGGTGGCAGCCATGGCACGGTACTCTGCCTCTGCAGACGACCTAGAAATGGTGGACTGCTTCTTTGTTTTCCAGGAGATCAAAGACTCACCCAGAAAAACACAGTAGCCAGTGACTGATTTGCGGGAATCAACACAAGTTCCCCAATCTGCATCACTGAATGCCTTGAGTTGAAGAGGAGAAGAAGATACCTTGGCCAGGTTTACCTTTTAAGTACTTGAGCAAATGATAGACAACCTGCAAGTGTGTGGTCCGAGGTTGAGATACAAACTGGCTGAGCTTATGGACAGCAAAAGTAATATCTGGCCTGGAAAGAGTGAGATATAAAAGTCTGCCCACTAAGCGACGGTACTGGAAAACATCCTCCAATGGTTCACCTTCAGTAGCATTTAATTGAATGCGTGGATCCATGGGGGTCTGAACCGGTTTACAAGCAAGGTATCCAGCATCTTCTAGGAGCTGCAATGTGTAATGACGTTGAGATAGACTAATTCCTTTCTAGGATCTAGCTAGTTCAAGGCCTAGGAAATATTTGAGAGTACCTAGATCCTTGAGCTTAAACTGAGTGTGAAGAAAAGATTTCAGGGCATCAATGGCATCAACAGAAGGACCAGTGATGATTATATCATCTACATATACTAACAAGGCAACAAAAGAGGAACCATGACCCTTAGTGAATAAGGAGTAATCAGACTTGGACTGAGTGAAACCTTGTTGTAAAAGGACTGTAGAGAACTTGTTGTACCACTGTCTTGATGCTTGACGTAGCCCATAGATGGCTTTGTGTAATCTGCATACAGGCTTAGTGCCAGGAGCAAATTTCTCCCCCTGAATGGAATAGCCAAGAGGTAGGTCCATGTACACCTCTTCAATTAATTCACCATTTAGAAATGCATTGTTGACATCTAATTGATGGAGATGCCAGTTTTGCATAGAAGCAATTGTAAGAAGAGTCTTAACAGTAGCAAGCTTGGTTACCGGTGAAAATGTATCAATGAAATCTATGCCTTCTCGTTGTGTAAAACCTTTGGCCACAAGACGAGCTTTATGTCTATCAAGTGAACCATCATCCTTGAGTTTCAGCTTGTAGATCCACTTACAGCTGATTGCCTTCTTGCCAGGTGGTAATGCAACTATAGACCATGTCTTGTTGGCTTGCATAGCATTCAGTTCAGCTTCCATAGCTGCACACCATTGAGGAAGCTTGACTGCTTGGTGATAAAAGTGAGGTTCATAGTGAGATGAAACATTCAAAATGAAATTATGGTAATGTGGATATAATTGGTTATATGAAATGACTGAGGACAGAGGATATAATGTCTCTGCTGCATCAGTGGTTGTGTGAGTTAAGAGACTGCAATGATAATCTTGAAGATATTGAGGAGCCCTAGATATCCGAGAAGATATGCGAGTAATTATAGGTGGAGTAGGATTATCAGCTGTGTTATGATGGAGCTGTGCAGGTTCTGTTGGAAATGGAACCTGCTCTTGAGAATCAAGATCCTTGCAAGGCAAAACCAAGTCAAGAAATAAATCAACCTGTGAAGAACCTTGAACAATACCTTGAAAAGGAAAAACTTCTTCATGAAAAACCACATCACGGGATGTGAACAACTGATGAGTGTTCAAATCATACAGGCTATAAGCTTTCATACCTGGTGGATATCCCAAGAAAACACAAGCTCTAGCTCTAGGCTGAAACTTAGTGCGATTAGCAGATAAAGTGGATGCAAATGCAAGACATCCAAAAACTCGTAGAGTAGAGTAATCAACAGGCCTGTCATATAAAAGCTCAAATGGAGATTTGAAGTTAATTACCGAAGAAACAGTACGATTAATGAGAAACACAGTCGTGGACACACATGCTGACCAGAAGCGTAAAGGAACTTTTGATTGAAAAAATATCGAAAACCAGAACAATCAGCAGTGGAGAAGGGTCCTCAGATGTCTAAATGAACAAGGTCAAAGGGATTTGCTGAAATATGTGCTTGAGAAATAAAAGGCAATTTTCGCTGTTTGGCTAATGGACAAATAAAGCATGGCCTTTTATTATTATTGAACTGTGAATCAGAACATTGAATTCTATCTTTCATGTGTACAAGACACCTATAAGATAAATGTCCTAATCTATGATGCCAAGTATGCACAGAAATAGTATTAACAGCAGTATCAAACAAATCAGTACTAACAGAGGTCCTAGTATATAGTACATACAACCCCTCCAACTTGCTACCCTTGCCAATCATCTTGTTGGACTTCTCCTCCTGGATAGCAAATGTATGAGCAGAGAAAGTAATTGTAAGTTGGGAGTCAGTGGATAATGCACTAACAGACATCAAATTGAACTTGAATTGAGGAACATATAGAACATCTCTGAGTACCAACTGTGAATTGAAACGAACATCACCAACCAAGTAAACTGGTATACTAGTGTGATTGAGTAATGTGACAGTGCAACCATGAACTGGCCGAAGAGATAAAAAATGATGAGCATGAGCAGAGATGTGTTTAGAAGCTCCTGAATCAACTATCCAAATATCTTTATCCGAAAATATTGGATTGGTGGAAATGGAAAAACAGGTACCTGTGTTGAAAGCAGTAGCAGGACCAGCAACTGCATCAGAGGTCTTGTTAATGAAGGCCATGTGATTGGAAAGCAAACTCAGGAGTTGACCACAACTATTTGAGTCAATGTTTTGAAGAACATTATTCAGCGGATGAAAGTTTTGTGTGTAATGTGCAGCATCAACATGAGAAGTATGTACTTCAGCCATATTGGAAGAGAATGATGATTTCTTCTGCCTAGGCTTGAAGCCTGGGGGATATCCATGGAGCTTATAACATTTATCCACAATATGTCCATGATATTGACAGTGGGTGCAGAAAGGGCGTTCCTTCTTGAAGCCTTTGTTCTGACCTTCAAGTTTGGCTGCAAAGGTCATTGTGTTGGTGGATTCAACACCAGAACCATGAGGTAAAATTTGACGTTGATGTTCTTCTTGCATCACCAACGAAAACACTTTGTTGATCGGAGGCAGAGGATCATTGAGAAGGATTTGACCTCGGATCTGAGCAAAGGAGTCATTCAATCCCATGAGGAAAGCCATTGTATATTCCATATGAAAATATTCCAGTAGTCGTTGAACACCACCACAGGTGCAAGAGCCACATGTACAGGAAGGGCGAAAGGTACTCAACTCTTCCCAGAGAGCCTTCAAACGAGTGAAATATGCTCCAACAGCCTGTTGTTCTTGACTCAGATTAGCCAAGTCTCGTCGAAGCATGAAGATCTTTGGTCCATTTCGTTGTTGAAAACGATCTTTAAGATCGTTCCAGATCTCCAAAGCCGAATCAGAAAAAAGGATACTAGCAGAAATTTCCTTGGAGACAGAGTTGAGAATCCAGGAAATTACCATATCATTGTTGCGAGTCCAAGATCTGAGAAGAGCAGGATTAGTTCCATCAGGTTTGAGAAGTGTACCATTCACAAACCCTAATTTGTTCTTCACAGATAGAGCTATGGTCATGGCGCGACTCCAGGATGAGTAGTTGTCTTCGGTGAGAGATTGAGAGACCAAAACCAGACCTGGACTATCTGAATGATGGAGAAAGTAAGGGCTGGGGGAATCATCAGCACCGTGAAACGCCATGGAAGACGAGGAACACTATCTGTAGATCTGGAAAAAAAAAATCACGATCTCTATATCGGAGGAGAGAGATCAGAGTGCGGAAATCATAATGCGAAAAAATGCTCTAGATACCATATTGCATCACATGCAGAAGATGAATCAAAGACAAGCAAGAAGAAGCAATAAGGAGAAAGGGAAAGTCAAAAATTCTATTCATCAGAAAAGTGAAGTGTACAACTAAGTCTATCGTCATTCACCCTTTATGGTGATGTTATGTCTGAGAGCAAAAGTAAAACAGAATAGTAACTAACTTGGTTACAACTCAACTATACAAACAGAATAGTAACTAACTCAGCTAAGGTTAATAAACCATGGTTAATAAATTGAATCAGAGTATTAATTTATTAACTATAATATATTTAATTCAATATTATTAATTATTGCATAATCAACAAATTATTAAATACAAAATTAAACAAAATTAATATAAAAATTATCTAACCTACATTTCAACCTATAAATAAATAATGCATTAAAACAATTTATTTAATACATTAATTAAACAATATGGCACTATTAATATTACTAATAATTGCATAATTAAAAAAATTAATTGATAAATTTAACAACATTAATATAAAAAATTTATAACCTAAATTTAAACCCTATAAATAATTTCAAACAATTCATATTATTAAATAAAGCATTATATTAAATAATAAACATAATAACATTAACATGCATATCCTAAGCCATTGTAATAAGGGTAAAACTAGTATCATGTAACATAATCTAAATAATTTTTCCTACTCAAACAAAAATGTATGTGGGTCCCATACATATAATAAAAACAAAAAATAAAAAATGATGGTACGAAAACCAACGGGTGAGTGGATAAAAAACTTTACATCATGTTACATAATATTAGATTTTCCCTTGTAATAATTGTGTCTTCTAACCTAATGTTTCATCATATATATAATAATTAACAACATTTAAATAACACTAAAAAATTGTAAAAAAAATTAACTAAATCATAAATTACTAACCTCAAATGTAGAGAGAGAAAGAAAAATTAGAAAGGGGGAAAGTGAGAGAAAGAAAAATGAGAGAGAGTGAGAGGGGGAGAGATTCAGGTGGGAGAAATGGGGGGAGGGGAGGGGGGTTTATATACGGTGGTGAAAAATAGCCGTTGCACCAAGTTTGCTGCCCACCCCAGCGAACTTGGTGCATGTCAGCCACGTGGCATGCTAGTCGTTACACGTAGTTCGCTGAAGTGGGAAGCAACCTTTGTTGTATGCAAGGCACGTGACTTGGCAGGTGGGAACGTGCAGGGCATTAATTGCTGCAGAGTTCGCTACTAATACAAGCGAACTATGTGTCCGCAGGAACGTGACACATCAGCACACAGAGTTCGCTACTTCGTTGGATGAACTTGCTCTCGTGACATATTGGTAAATTGCATTGTTGGCAGGCATTTAGGAAAATAAGATAACAAACAGTGGCACTTTGATCACTATTCCTTTTTTGTATATGGGGGTTTTCGGCGTGTTTGGCTTTGTTTTTGTGAGGAGTTAATCTGTTTTTTTTTTTTTTTTTGTATTTTACCGAGCTGACACCTTATTGTATTATCATGTACGACGAGGAGATACTTTGACAAGAAAAGTTATGTCAACCGGAACGAATTCTCTTAATATGATCATACCATGTAAAATGATTTTAATCATACAATCATTAAAAAAATAAGAGGAAAAAAATATAAAAATAAAAAATTACAAAATTATTAAAGTTGATTTATTCATTAATAATTAAGATCTTCTCGTATAAAATGATGTGATCACGTTAACTAATTATTTATTTCCCCCCAATAACACATATTTTAATGAAATGCTGATAAGATTTCATTATATCGAGTTATTAACATAAGTCTCTTTATAGAATTTTATGACCGCGCTGCTCACATTAATAGCCGTTAAAACATGCTCTCTTGTATACAACTGCAAAATAACCGTTGCAGAAGATAATTCCATTGACTGAGTTATCAAAAAATTTCAGTGGTACACGGGTTTCCGTTGATTTTGATAATAATAAGAAAACACATGCTGATACTTAAATAGTAATGGACTGATTAAAATTGTTATGACGTAATTTGTTAAAAAAAGAATTGAAGGGAGGTAACAGACAAAGTTCTTTGCGTGCACGGAATTAAGTCAAGACTTAAACAAGGAAAATAAAACACCTCAACGTTGAGTGGCACATTTTCAGTTGTGCCACATTCTCACATGTCAGGATCAGGGTAATAAAGTCGACGAATAATATTAATCTAGTATTAGACTATTGAATTTTGAATTTGGTTCGGAAAGTCAGGCTTATCTCAGAACGGGGGAACTGTCCTACAACTACCACAAGGGAAAATATCCTTTTGCTCTGCAAATTAAGCCACAAAATCAAACACTCACAGCTTGTTTTGATTAGAAAGTTGAAGTTTTGTTCTTAGGACCATGGCAGAGAAGAGCAAAATCCTAATACTTGGAGGCACAGGATACATTGGAAAATTCATAGTTGAGGCAAGCGCAAAAGCAGGACACCCAACGTTTGCCTTGGTTAGGGAGAGCACTGTTTCTCATACTGACAAATCAAAGCTTATTGAGAGCTTCAAGAACTCCGGAATCACCCTCTTTTACGTTTGTGTCTTTCAATCACTATTTTTTATTTTTACTTACAGAACTACTTCAGATTTCAAACCAACTATTCTGACATCTCTCTCTCTCTCTGATTCTCTGTAGGGTGATCTAACTGATTATGGAAGCCTTGTCAAGGCAATCAAGCAAGTTGATGTTGTGATATCTACTCTAGGTTTACAACAGATAGATGACCAATTGAAGCTCATAGCAGCAATAAAAGAAGCTGGAAACATCAAGGTGCATAAGCCTTCTTTTACATAATAATTAACTAACTCGTTGAAAACTGATCTTATTTTTTCCGCTTAGTTAAAATGGTTGAATGCTTGAAATAGCTATATATATATATATATATAAGGTGGTGTTTCTTGTGTCATCAGAGGTTCCTCCCATCTGAGTTTGGGATAGACGTGGACCGTCACAATGCAGTTGAGCCAGCTGCCAGCAGTTTAGAGAAAAAAGCGAAAATCCGAAGGGCAATTGAAGCTGAAGGAATTCCTTACACTTAGGGTGTGTTTGGTACAGGATAAATTTTTTGGTGACCGGGAATCATGATTAATGGAAATTCAGTAGGAATTGAGTTTACTTGGAATCTTACGAAAGATGTGTTTGGTTCACCAAAATATTACCGGGAATATTGGGTAAAAATTACTGATTCCATATTTGGTTTAGAACGAAATATGACTTGTAATATGAGGTTATTTTACAAAAATAACCCCAAACTATTTTTACTTTTGTAATTGATAGATTGGGTCTAGATTTTTATGTGTATTGGGGTATTTTTGTCTCAAAATTTATTGTTGTCCTTTCCCTTTACTTGGTATTCTGATTGGTATTCCGAATTACCATATTATTTTTGGTAATCTGAATAGTGACTTTTCTTTATAAATCAAATTACCGGTAATCCTTGGATATCCGGGAATCGTAATTTATTCCTTCTACCAAACGTGGTAATTACATTTATCAAAGAAGGATTACCGGTAATCCTCTCCAAAAACTTGAACGAAACACCCCCTTATGTATGTTCTAATGCCTTTGCTGGTTACTTCTTATCCACACTCGGACAGCAAAATGTTACGGCTCCACCCCGGGATAAGGTAGTTATTCTTGGAGATGGAAATGCCAAAGGTAATAGATACTAAGCAAGCAGTTATGTTATGTTGCCTCAAGTTGTGCTCTTGAATTAAACCTTTTATTTCAGGAGTTTATGTCACGGAGGAGGACATTGGGACTTATACCATCAAAGCAGTGGATGACCCAAGAACCTTGAACAAAATTCTGTACCTGAGACCCCCTGCCAATGTTTTGACCTTTAACGAGCTCGTCTCCTTGTGGGAGAATAAGATTAAGAGCACCCTTGAGAAAAGTTATGTTCCGGAGGATCAACTTCTAAAGAACATCCAGGGTTAGTATGAACATTCAATTGAGACTTTTCTGGCTACCTTCACAAATTCAACTTAGAAGAATCTTTAGTCCCTGTTAACACTCGACTAGTTTTTAGATGGATGAACTTGTTTGTCTTGGATTCCTTAAACAAAAAACGTGAGGATGAGTTCAATTCACTGATAGAATGCGTAGAACATACCCATCTTTTTTGTTTTTTTTGGTCCTCTGCAAAAACAACTTAATATACAACTAAAAGGTGGAAACCTAAAGTTTAAACTATTTGGTGATGTGCTCATGCAAGAGTTTGGACTTGCACTTGGTATTGGACAATGCACAAACTCCGCTTTTATTGATAGCAGATGTACTATTATTTATGTTTTGATTGTTTTTTCTTCTCTGCAGAGACTCCTTTCCCTGGGAACTTCATGTTGGCGTTATGCCACTCAATGCTGGTAAAGGGGGATTGTACAAACTTTGAGATTGACCCTTCTTTCGGTGTGGAGGCTTCTGAACTTTATCCTGAGGTGAAATACACCACCATCGACAACTCTTTGAATGCGTTTGTCTGAAATCTAAGGAATATGCATCGCTGCCAATATGTAAACTGTCAAAATATGTACTTGTTTTCTTATTAATTGTTGTAAATATTAGGTCTTTTATTATTATTAGTATTTGTTGTATTGGGCCAAGCCCATTAGGTCAAGAATTAGGGTTTTTGGTCTCTATAAATAGAGACCTCTTTGTATCATATTAATTCACAATTCAATAATATTTCAAATACCCTTTTCTTTCAAGTTGGTATCAGAGCTCTCGATCCAGAGGGCTCTGCTTCCGCGCCTACGAAACCTTTCTATTCTTTTTTACGTCTCTCGCTGCCATCAGCCGCCACCGGAAAATTTTTTCCGGGGACCTCTTGGACCGAGAAGACCATTGCTTCACTGTTCCTCTTTCTTTTTCTTGTCTATTACACAACCAGAAACAAACGTTCACAGAATCAACGTACAGAACCACCGTACAGAACCTGTTCATCGCGATTGGAACCTTTTTCCGGTGGATTCTTCACTCCGAACAGCCACAGAAACCATCGCACTCGCCGGACGACCTTCGCCTGAAAAACCCAGCACCATCGGAGGTCAGACGCGCCTCCACGCGCCGCCCTTGTCTCTGCGCGTGAATCCCACGCGCCGCCAGCTTCACCGGCGCGTGACAGCGCGTGATGGTGGTTCTCGGCCGCGGACCACCACGGTTCTGATCGTCTCTCCAAGCCGGTTCTGGATCTGTGCTCTCTACTTTGATCGGACATCGTTTGGTATTTTTTTTCAGAATTTCTTGGCTTCTTGGAGTTTGTTCTTTCACCAATTTCTTGCCTCCGACAAGATCTGACGTTGTTTGGTATTTGTTCCGGTCACTGTGTTACTGTTTCGGCCGCTGTGTTACTGTTCCGGTCAGATCTGACGTTGTTTAGTATTTGTTTGTGATTTTGTGGCTTCTTGGAGCTTTTCTTTGACCATTTGCTGTGCAGTATGACCTCTTCTCAAAGGAGTTCTTTTTCAAAATTTTATGATGGTACCTCTTCTAGACCTAAGAGAAATGATCGATGGTGTTCTTATTGTAAAAGAACATGTCATATAAAGGATTTATGCTTTCGCCTTTATGGAAAGCAAACTGTCTTAGAAAAGATGGCAAGGATGCGTGGTCAAGCGCATTTTACTTCTTCTGAAATAACCCCTGCTCCTAATGAGACCCAATCTGCATTTCGTCCAGATGAGTTGGAACGACTCCGAACCATTCTTGATTATCTGAGTAAGCCATCTGATACTAGTGCTTTGGCTATGACTGGTATGAGCTCCAAAACTCATTCTTTCATTTCTTCATGTAATGATTTTAAACATTCTTGGGTTGTTGATTCTGGTGCTACTGATCATATGGCTTGTTGTGCTGACTCCTTTATTTCTTATCATCCTACCATTGGAACTCATACAATATCCATAGCTGATGGCTCACATACATCAGTTGCGGGTTCTGGTGACATAAACTTACAGCAGTCCTTACATCTTAAGGATGTTCTTCATGTTCCTAAACTCTCCACGAATCTTCTTTCTATTCACAAAATTACAAAAGATTTGAATTGTACTGTAACCTTCTTCCCTACCCATTGTGTTTTTCAGGATCTCGCCACAGGGAAGACGATTGGTAGTGCTAAAGAGCAAGGTGGGCTGTACTATCTGGTGTCACAATCTCCCGCAAATAAAGTAATAGATCACACATTCATGTCTCATGGTCAATCAACTGCTGATTCTTTAATTTGGCTGCATCATAAGCGTTTGGGTCATCCTCCATTTAGTTTACTCAAATCTTTATTCCCGTCATTGTTTTTGTCTAAGTCTGTTGAGTCTTTTCATTGTGATGTTTGTGAATTTGCTAAGCATCATCGTGTGTCTTTTCCTTCTAGTATTACTAAGAGTGTTGAACCTTTTGATCTTATTCATTCTGATGTTTGGGGTCCTTCTAAGGTCCCTCATTCTTCTGGAAATAAATGGTTTGTTTCTTTTATTGATGATTACACTCGTGTCACTTGGGTTTACTTAATGCGTGAAAAGTCTGAGGTACCACAACTGTTCTTTCAATTTTATAAAATGATTGAGACTCAATTTTGTAAAAATATCAAAAGACTAAGGACAGATAATGGTACTGAATATGTCAATCACTCTTTTTCCCAATTTATACAAAATCAAGGTATGATTCATGAACTTACTTGTGTAGACACCCCTCAACAAAATGGGGTTGCTGAAAGAAAAAATCGTCACCTTCTTGAAGTTGCTCGTGCCTTACTGTTTCAAACACATGTACCCAAATGCTATTGGGGAGATGCCATTCTTACTGCAGCGTTCTTGATCAATCGTCTACCCACTCGGGTTCTCGATCATGTAAGTCATATTCACTCCATGACTTCTTTTTTTCCTTCTGTTCCAACTTTGCAAAGTCTTCCTCCTCGAGTGTTTGGGTGTGTTGTCTTTGTTCATATTCATAAACAGCATCGCAGTAAGTTGGATCCTAGGGCTCTTAAATGTGTCTTCCTTGGTTATGCTCCTGATAAGAAGGGCTACAAGTGCTATCACCCTGGAAGTCGGAAATTTTTTGTTTCTATGGATGTTATATTTCAGGAATCTGAGTCTTTTTTCCAAGGTCTTCATCTTTAGGGGGAGAATAATTCACCAGAAGACTCATCACCTTCCTTCTTTGAATCTTCAGTGTCTACTTCTTCACCTGTGTCAGTGTCTCTTCTTCTTGTTCCTGTTCCTAATGTGTCTATGTCTGATCCTCCTGTGACTGATCCTCCTATGACTGATACATCAAATACACCAGAGATACGGAAGATTGTAACACCTGAATTGGTATATCAAAGAAGGAAACAGCCCATATTGCCTCAACAGCAACCTCAATCGTCTGAACCACTGGTAAGTCCTGAATCTCATATTTCTGATCCTGATGTTAATACGTCTGATGACTTACCCATTACTACTGTTTCTGATGACTTACCCATTATTACTGCTTCAGATGATTTACCCATTGCTTTAAGAAAAGGAAAAAGATCTTGTTCCAAGAAAACTTGTTCTTCCTGTCCCTCTTGTACTCAATACCCTATCTCCCATTTTATTTCCTCTGCTAATCTTTCTGTGCAGCACAAAAGCTTTGTTTCAGCACTAGATTCTACTTCAATCCCAAAATCAGTACATGAAGCTTTGAAAGATGGGAATTGGGCTCAAGCCATGCAAGAGGAGATGAATGCGTTGGAGAAAAATAAAACATGAGAGGTTATTGATAGACCCAACGGAAAGAAAGCAGTAGGGTGCAGATGGGTTTATGCCCTGAAATATAATTCTGATGGCACTCTTGAGAGATACAAGGCTCGATTAGTCGCCAAAGGTTACACTCAAACCTATGGCATTGATTATGAAGAAACCTTTGCTCCAGTTGCAAAGATGAATACAGTGAGAATCTTGTTGTCCCTTGCTGCCCATTACATTTGGGATATAAATCAATTTGATGTGAAAAATGCTTTCCTCAATGGTGAGTTAGAAGAAGTCTACATGGAAATCCCGCCTGGTTTTGATTCTGTGAAGGGGAAAAATAAAGTTTGTCGATTAAAAAAGGCCTTGTATGGATTGAAACAGTCACCTCGTGCTTGGTTTGGAAGGTTTACTAAGGTTATGATGACCTTAGGATATAGACAGAGTCAAGGAGATCACACTCTTTTCTTCAAGCACTCCCAAAATGGGAAGCTTACTGTGCTCCTTGTATATGTTGATGATATTATTATCACAGGTGATGATTTTGTGGAGAGACAGATTCTGCAGACACGACTTGCCTCTGAGTTCGAAGTCAAAGACCTTGGGAAACTAAGATATTTCCTAGGGATAGAAGTAGCTCATTCAAGCAAAGGAATTTTTATCAGTCAGAGGAAATATGTTTTGGATCTTCTCAAAGAAGCAGGGAAGCTCGGGTGTAAACCCTCTAATACTCCTATTGAGCAGAATCACTAGATAGGCTTTGAAGAGGAGAGTCCTCCAGTTGATAAAGGACAATATCAACGGCTAGTTGGAAAATTGATATATTTGGCCCATACTAGGCCAGACCTAGCTTATGTTGTTAGTGTTGTCAGTCAGTTTATGCACGATCCAAAGGAGAAACACATGCAGGCAGTAGAGAGAATTCTTCAGTATCTTAAAGCTACTCCTGGTAAAGGATTGTTATTCCGACGTGATGGTAATCTCTCTTTAGAAGTCTACACTGATGCTGATTATGCTGGATCCGTGACTGACCGTCGTTCTACCACTGGTTATTGCATGTTTCTTTGCGGTAACTGGGTGACATGGAGAAGTAAGAAACAAGATGTGGTTGCCAGATCAAGTGCAGAAGCTGAATTTCGAGCTATGGCTCAAGGCATTTGTGAGTTACTGTGGCTGAAAATTGTACTTGATGATCTCAAAATAAAATGTGAGGGACCTATGAAGCTGCTATGTGATAATAAGTCCGCTATTTGTATAGCTCATTATCCAGTTCAACATGATCAGACTAAACATATTGAGGTCGACCGCCATTTCATCAAAGAGAAACTTGATAGCGGGTTGATTACCACTCCATACATTCTCACTGGGCGTCAATTAGCTGATCTATTGACAAAGGGACTTCCTTCAGATAGATTTCAAGAACTTACTAGCAAGCTGGGAATGATAAATATCTATTCCTCAGCTTGAGGGGGAGTGTTGTAAATATTAGGTCTTTTATTATTATTAGTATTTGTTGTATTGGGCCAAGCCCATTAGGTCAAGAATTAGGGTTTTTGATCTCTATAAATAGAGACCTCTTTGTATCATATTAATTCACAATTCAATAATATTTCAAATACCCTTTTCTTTCAAGTTTAATTCTGCACCATAGCAATGGTGTTTAAATACAGAAAAGATGATCCAAAATCAGATCAAAGATACAAAAGATCCTAACAAATTATACAGATTGTTTAAAATCAAAACTAACTCCTATTTTACAGGAGCTATCTACAACTACTAGTAAACAACAACCTTTCAAATAAGTTTAAAATTAAAACTTCTATTTTTAACACTCTCCCTCAAGTTGGTTCATGTATATTTATCATGCCCAACTTGTTGATTGCCTTCTCAAAGGACTTGCCAGAAACAACTTTGGTTAAAACATCAGCAATCTGATCTTCTGACTTTACAAATGGCAGTTGAATAATCTTGTGATCAAGTTTTTCT